AAAAATACCGATGATAGCGACATTATATCATATACATATTTTAAGGAATAATTCAATGATACACTTTGTTGATTTGAGCATCTGGTCCGCCTGGGAGCCAACGGGTGGGAATCCAAGGCACGTGGAAAACATGTGGATACGCCCTCAATTGCTTTTTTGGTGTTTTTTCAAATTCCACCCAATTTTGATGTTATTTTTGGGGGGGCATGCGTCACGGCAAAGTATGGTCGTTCCACGGCAAAGTATAGCCGTACCACGGCAAAGTATAGCCGTACCACGGATGCGTCACGGTCGCGTCACGGTCCCCTAAGTGTTCCCAAACGTTTTTTTCTCATTTTTTTAACATGGACGCTTTCCAGTTATGATTTCTCCCAGCCATGAAACCGCAGTAGCACAAAAGGTTGGTTGTGCACACATGAGAACCACATTGGAAAGACTGAGGGTCTCATCAGTTCGAAAAAAGCACAGTGCCTCATAGATTCCAGTAGTTGTTGTGTGTTTCCCATGTGTGGATGAGCACCAACATCCTGATGCAGAGAACATCAAGCTATTGAAAGTGTGATCTGACTTGTTCATGAATTAAATCAGGGCCAAATGTGACTTAGTCAGTCAAGGCCTTCTCGGAACACGGGAACAAAATTTCCCCGGTCCCATTCCGCCCGCAAAAAGCCACGGATGGCTCCCAGGTCAGCCATCAGCCAATTTTGGTCATGGGCAAGTGCCTGGGCAGCGGTGGTGATGGAGAGGAGGGTGGATAAGTCGGAGAATGTGGGGTAATGATGCCGCAGCCACCTATAGCAAAAAGAAGTTGAGTTGATTGCTTGATGTAGGTTTTTGGGTAATAATGGCAAGTCAAGCCAACGGGAAAATTACAAACTTGCTGGAACCAAAAAAAAGCAATAAGTGGGGTTGCACTCTTGACCAGCATTCGGATGTGTGGTGCTGCAGCTGAAGGCTGCGGGTCATCACCATAGATTTCCCCCGAAGGTCACCAGGATACTTCGCCTGGGATGGCAAACAAAAGTATTGGACCCGATCTTTCTGAATTCAAGGAAACATATATTCAGACTCGAGAGATCACTGGTTGTTGATTGAAACTTTTCCAAAATTAAAAAAATCTGCTGAGAAACCACATGCTCGAGATGGAGATCCCGCACTTTGCGTCCATATCCTTTAGGATAAATCGCAGATGCCTTTAGGGTTTTCAGCCCTTGCCTGAGATGCCACCGGGGTAGTGAAGAGATTGTTTATGAACTTGGTTTTCCAGGAAGATTAAAATAGTAGAATATTTCCCCACTCCCATCAAAGTCCACTGACATCAATTTCATCAAAGAACATAATTTGCACATACAAGTTTCACTCGCGTAACACCCTTGGAGTCAATGTATTTACGAACAAGTTTGTGGTTCTTCTTCTTCAACAATCGCCGCTGGAGCTTGGCACGTTCCTTCTTGCCGAACTTGCGGTACAAGCCGAGGACGAAAGGCCTCAATATGTTCAAGATTGAAGCGGATGTCTCAGCCAGCAACTTGGACGCATCAAACCTGTGCTGTCGGTTTTCCAACAGACGTGCTTTTAAGATGCACCCCCATTACCCACTTGAGCCTGGCACCCTGTACCGAAATTCATAGATGGCTTCGCTGTAGGCGATCCCCAAGAGCACATCCAACTCAGCGCAGACAGGAATGAGAAGATAGGAGAAGTGCAGAAACCAAATTCGGGCATACACCCTCTTGATTGATCATAGACTCTAGGCCCTTCCAAGTGGAAACATACGAGTCAAAGTCAAACGTTCTTGTTTTGCAAATTCCAGAAACAAACTCTGTTGGATCCATGGAAGAAGCCCTTTGAGTGCATGTTGGAGCCGTTCCATCGGACTGAATGACGGCATCAGAGAAGAGCGCGGCTGCTCCACGCATGTGTAGCAGCATCTGGCACATGCTATGATCATCAAGAGAACGAACCTACTTGTGATCCTCAGCCGGGTTGGGAACGGAAGCAAATTGACCAAAATCGAAAGGATCATATCCAACCTAGTAGGTGTTGATTGAAACGCAGCCTGAAAAATGTTTTTCTTGAAAGAAAACAAGTAGCAAATTCGCTAGGCCAACACTGGGAACGGACAGGTCACCGTCCGGTGAGAGAGCACTTCTTTTGCTGCTCCCTCGATTCACCCAAACATAGGTCCCACACGGCGGACCACCGTGCAACAGTCCGTCTTCAACCAACCGTAATGTCCATTGGACTCCTCGAAACCATCCAGGCCTGAGCGGCCGGCGAATGTGATAGGTATTATATCGATTTTCCATATATCGTCATTATCATGTTTAAATTCAATTCATACATGATCTAGATCCTCCAGAACCTTTAATTCCGCAAACTGACCCACCATTTTTTAAAAATGAGGTATCCCAAATATATTTCAAGAGGTGGATTCCATTGGTTACAGTCACTACTACACATCATCCCACCACATTGCTGAATTTGATCGACTGGCGATCCATCTATGAGCTCTGCTGTTTATGCCATGTTGTGGTATGTCAATTTCATCCTAGCTGCTAGTTCCTCTAGCGCAAGTTTACTTTCTGAGAGTTCACCTGCTTACTCTTATACGGTACACCTTTCCTCACACCAGACAAGGTGCACAGAGGTCAGGTCGTGACTGCGGGGTTGTAACTCCACATCATAAGATAACCTCAAACATGTCGCGCATTGCAATTGGAAAAGCGGTCCAACGAAGGCACAAGTTTTTTGCAATGTGGAGATGGAAGATACACTGAGTTTGGCTTGAGGGCAGCGCGTCCTCAGTTGATGCTCGCCTGCAGAGGGGGAACTTCAAGGGCCAACTTGGGTTTGTGAAATTGACTAAGATCGAGCTATGTTTGGAAGTTATCACCAAGAATAATGATGAATAATGTATGGGGATTCAATAAGAAATGTGGAGTCACGAAAATATGCTCCAATCTTTTGAACATTATCCATGCCGCATGCCTAGAACCTCAACGCACGAGAACTCCAAATTTGAGGTCCCAACGGTATGCATTTGTCAAAGATTTTTTCCGCAGAACATGTCCAAGAGCTGCACATTCTGAGAAGCCGGCGGCCAACAATGGGACAAGATCATGTTTTGAAATTATTCCTTGTCAACGTGAACAAAATTAAAAACCCGCACAATAAGTGGATTGAGCACCGGGCTCTTTGGGCACTGGGGCTGTCAATGGCTGTCTGCTGAGCTATGTAATCACAGCTATGCAACCTGAGGTCCAGAAGGTGGTGAGTTGAAGCAATCCCCTATGGAGGTTAAACTACCAACGCAAACGAGAAACAAGACCAGCGGAGCTCCGATATATAACATAAAGCAGGCGGTTTTAGATGTCAGGCTCAAAGGTGATGACATCCATTGCTTGGCAGGGCCCCTCTTCATGGCTCATAGAACGGGGCACAGTTGTTTCAACTACCGTATCACCTTCCACCTGGATCCTGAATGCACGGCCAATACAAATATTTACACCCAAACACCGAGCATGATACTTACCAGCATTGGTTAAATTATGATAAGGATGTAGCTGTCATACAAGCCAGCATGCCCCACCACGACTGGGATATTGACGCACATTAACTGAGGAAGCCCGGCAGACACATGATCGAAAGCTATATTTTCCCTCAGCAGCGGCAATCCGGCAGCACATCGAGCTAAAGGGAACCCTATGGATTCAGTTCGCCATGGCAATATGCTGCCCCATGCTTGCTCTTTGACATGTGGGCCCAACACAAGAAAATCCGAAAGCTTGTGCCATTGCAATGGAATTTAAATAGAAGCGTACAAGCTATTTGTGTCATCAAAACTGAGCAAGGGAGCCGTTTTCCAGCCCATGGATTTCAAGACTTGGCCACTGCATTTCAAAAGACAACAGGTTCATATGGAGTCTCTGGGTCCTCCCATGCTGCAATCTTGATTGCGCAGATCCACCTTAGCCAAACAAGGCCACGATCTCCCAATGACCATTGAACAAGATGGAATATAACTTTAAACTTGTTCCGTGGGTCCGAAAATAAGCTTCTGCGATCGCCAATGAACAGAAATATATTTTTTCGGGATCAATTCTTGTTGAGCTTGGGTGATTTTTTGCATACTTATGACTTGCGATTGTACGTGACATTTGTAGGGACCTGCTCCCAGCTTGAACCATTTGCTCAGGTACAGGCGCTTTCTGGAGCCCTCTTTTGTTCCACGTTATGCTGACACCCTGCTGCTTGTCATTTGCCTGAAAGTTCCAACAGGAGAAGGGTCAGGTATACAATTTCTTTTTTTAGACGGATGGGTGAAAAAAGGGATCCAATCCAACTGTTGCCATAATATCGATTCTCAAAAAAGGCACTACCCGCTTTCCAAGGAACTAGATTATTTAGCATCATGGGCGCTCTAGTGCGCTGTAATTTCACGACTAAAATCATTATACGGACGGCCCCAATCATCAGGCCTTCAGGTTCTCATCGCACGCCAAGTTCACTCGGGCCACACGCTTGTTGGGGACATCTCTGATGTAGAAATTCCCACTTCCACGGTCGATCCTGGGCACAGCGGATCCAGTATGATGACTAATTGACGTGGGCTATGCAATTATTTGGGGAATACCAAGCAGGGACGGGGAAACACACATATTCTGATGGAATACTCTCTCCCAAATCTCAGCTTATTGGGCAATTCAAATTGATATTTCTTTCAACCGTCTACCGCCGACTCCTAGTAAACATTCTGAAAAATAAGGCCCCGGCAAGACTTGGATGCTTGTAGCAACAGATGAAGTGTCTGCTTTTGTAGGCAGCCCTTCAGGCGGTGGAAGGGTGAAGGTCCTGAAGCCCAATAGTGCGAATATCATTCATCATATGCATGATTTTGATTTATTTTGTATATCCTATATTCATTCACATGTTGGTTTTATTTTGCCATGAAACGAGAGAGACCTGCTGAAATATGAGACTTCTTTGATCTCAGGCTCTCACTTCTTGTTTTGCCAATCCTCCGGCAGTTCCATGTAGCGAAGGTGGGCATGCCACTGGATCAGCTCGGCGATGTTCTGTTCCTGCATGGGTTGTTAAAGAAGGGTATTTTGGGAACCCGATTTTTTTAAACCAACTTTGACCTGCTAAGAGAAGCATATCTAATATATACATGTAAATAATTTGTATAGCTAATAGTATGTGTTATATACATGTGACGCATGCAGTATGTGTGCTATGCATGCATGTGTTTTGGTTCGGAGTGGTCTGTCCTTAAATTTATGCATTGTCTTTCTTTTCTTTGTTCTCGGAGTCAACGGTCCCAAATCCTCAGCCTCACCCTCTCCTGCCTCACCCTTTCCCTTTTTCGGTGTCTCTGCTGCTCTCTTTTTTTTGGGGGTAACTGCCTTCTTCCTCTTCTTTTTAGGTGTTGCTTTGCAAGCAGTCTGCCTTCTCGCGGGTTTCTTTTGATGCTCATCGCCGCCTTCATCTTCATCACCATCATCCTGTCTGTAAACCTTTGCATTCCTAGCATTCTCCATATCTTCTAAAACCTTGTCCTCTGCATCCTTGGCCATTGTCTCCAAAGTTTCACCTTCTGTAACCTTTGCAGGTGGAGGGGGGGCGGCTGCAGATTCTGGGGTCTCTTTCTTCTGCCTCTTGGGTTCGGGTGGAGGGGTGGCTGCAGGTTCAGTGGTCTCTTTCTTCTGCCTCTTGGGTTCGGGTGGAGGGGTGGCTGCAGGTTCAGTGGTCTCTTTCTTCTGCCTCTTGGCTTCACCTGCCCTACCTCCCCTCCCACGCCCACGCCCTTGACCTCGACCTCGCCCCCTTCTCTTTTCTTCATCCTCATCTTCATCTTTGTACTCTCTATCTGAATCCTCCTCATGTTCCTTGGCGTCAGCCTTCCCGAACTTCACCTTCAGAGCCGCGCGCAATTTGCGCTGAGCCTGCAGCATCGCACATACATGACTTTATTTTAAAAATTATCTGTTCAGTACAGCTCGAAAACACATTCAACTTTAGAAAGCAAACTTTTAAACCGAAGAAACTCATAGCATCATGTCGGAATGCAAGCTAAACACTTTATCATGCTCATAAGCCGATACCATATGTTTGCATGTACCATGGCCTCAAGAAGATTGGTCCCCAAGACCGTGCTTGTATCGTGACCATCTACACAACTGTTGATGTCTTCGATGGCTTGTTCAATCATCATGCGCATCTCATCATCTGGTGGGTCTTGAAGAGGCGCTAGTGGCTGTCTGTCCTGGCCAGGATTCATAAATTCATAAACTGTATTTTCATCAACCTATTTCCCTAAGTAAATACCTCGTATTTCACACTATGTAGGTGCAACTGTTGTCTGGAACCTATTTATTTTCCAACTATAATAGTAAGGTGTCCAACAAGACTAAAGTATAGATTTGGTTTGGAACGACCAGCTGGAATAAAATGACAGGGTCCTTTTGTCCACCCTTCGTTGTTGAGGATGACGCGACTTCTTTTGGTCCATGGGCCGGTTCGTCATCACTGTCAATAGCTATAGCACCAGGTGACATGTCAGCGGGGGCATCTGGCGCCTCATCAGCCTTTTTGTGTGTCTTGTTCCCGTGATCATCAACACCCGCCATGGTATCTACTGATGCGCCTGGTTTCACTTCAGGCATGGGGTGGGGTACGGGGGGTGGTTCCACAATTTCATCATCAGTCTTGGCCTCCTCTTCCGCTCCTTCCCTTGTCCCTTCCCCCCCATCATCTGTAGCTGAGCGCTGCGTGGCTAACACCTCATCAGGAGCGTCGGGCAAACCATGCGCAAACTCATGAGACTGGGGCTGGGAGTCGTCCCACATCCCTTGGATCTGAGAGTCTGTCATTGGCATCGTGTCCATCAAGTCAGGGTTTGTTCCTCCACTGGTTTTGGTTGCCTCTGCAACCTTTGGGGTGCTCTCCAGGTCTTTGCTTCTGGTATTAACCTTGGCCTTCGATACCTGCTTCTTCTTCTTACTAATTGTCTTCTTGACTTTTGTCTTCTCGGCTTTGCCTTTGGTCACCTAGACGGAAGAAAATCTGGTAATATTAATTAACACATGATCCGCTGAAGAGCTAGGAGAAATATATACCTGTTGGTCAACTATGAATGACACACCAGATATCGGTGGCAGTTGCTAAATTATACAAACAAAAATAAAACACCAGATATCGGTGGCAGTTGCTAAATTATACAAACAAAAATAAAGCACGTGAATTTGATCTCCTGCAAACAGTGTGCCTTTGGAACTGTGTTTGGAACTGCTCTATTGCTACAGAATTCTGATAGGAAACGGGGCCTCGAAGGTGGAGCGGCCCTTGGTGGGACGTTTCTTGCCGTTATCCATCAGCAAGTTCATCTCCTACAGATCTTCTAGGTTCTAGGCCCAAACGTTCCACTCTATGGATGAATCAAGGTCACTGTGCTTTCCCAACATTTTGAAAAATGACAGTGTTCCCAGCTTCCTGTGAAATTACGGCAGCACATGAAAGGGTCCTGTAGCTTCGTTCTCACAATGGTCTTCAGCATGTTCATCTTTTCATGGCCTTTCCTGGTGACAAAACTAGTAGTGAAATCCACATCATTGGGGAAAAGGTCGCTGTCTTTTCCATAAAACTATGCTATAATAACTCATTATCATCCAATCAGCTGGCCCGACCTGCTCTTTCCGCATCGCTGATGCAGGTTGCAGATATACATTGCAAGTGCCCGCACGAGACCACCTTCAGTCCGTGCCCAGGCCTTGCCGGGTGGAGAGGACGAGTGTTTGGGTAAGATTGCAGACAACATGAAACAGAAAGCCACCATTTGATTAATGCACTTGTTTGATACAGGCTGTATGCGCTAATCAAGATCAAGCCTGGTGTTGGTCGACTGTCGTGAATTGTTCGTTGATATCCTCGTTCTGTGAAATCCATTCAAGGGCTTCCTAAGCGCAAAAAAGTGCCAAAGTAGGAGTCCGTACTAATGAAGGTGCAGCAAGTTAATGGAATTGACAATCATGAATTCGTGGTGGCTGGCCTCATGAACCCACACAGAAGTAGCAGGCTTAGTCACTGACTTCCATTTCGTACTTTGTAGGCAAATCGCCCACAAAGGTGCTCAGATAGGACTTCAGAAATGCATAGTTGGTCGGCCTCTGGACCTATATACCAGGGTGATCAACTGACCATTCGATCCATGTCACCGTCAACGGAAATCTTACAAGTAGATCTCATAGATTTTGTATTCAAAATTTGGCTCCTTGCTGAGACCCAAATCCCAGCAAGCCTTCGTCTCATTGACTTTGGGCTTTGCCCCAGGCAAATCAACGAATGAAAAGACCTGCGCGCCGCGATTGCGAATGGCTAGGGATGAGCCGGGGACGCATTCATTACTACCAAATATGTTGGAACAGACTGTTGATTTGAATAGCCTTGGACTTCTTTGCCCGTTTCAAATCCTGCTTTCTTTGGTCAAGCTTCTCGGGGAGGCACTGGTCCTGGAAGAACTCCTGGCCGAAATTGAGAGTCTACATGTCATTTTTACCGTTTATTTCACTTCTAGACTTTCAGAAGAAAATTGTCACAAATTACTTTACTTCGTGTGATCCCCACCATGGCATTTATCGATTTGTTACTGGCAAATTTTCTGGCATTCTATCTGACATATCTTCTGGCATTCGATCTGGCATTCTATCTGGCATATCTTCTGGCATTCTACCTGGCATATCTTCTGGCGTTCTATCTGGCATTCTATCTGGCATATCTTCTGACATCCTATCTGGCATTCTATCTGGCAAATCTTGGGCATTCTATCTGGCAAACATTCTGGCACTTTATCTGACATATCTTCTGGCATTCGATCTGGCATTCTGTCTGGCATAGGCATTCTACCTGACATATCTTCTGGCATATGTTCTGGCATTCCTTCTGGCATTCTATCTGGCATATCTTCTGGCATATCTTCTGACATCCTATCTGGCATCCTATCTGGCAAATCTTCTGGCATTCTATCTGGCAAACATTCTGGCACTTTATCTGGCATACCTTCTGGCATACCTTCTGGCATTCTATCTGGCATTCTATCTGGCATATCTTCTGGCATTTTATCTGGCATATCTTTTGGCATTCTATCTGACATGCTATCTGGCGTTCTATCTGGCGTATCTTCTGGCATTGTATCTGGCATATCTTCTGGCATTCTTTCTGACATTCTATCTGGCGTTCTATCTGGCATATCTTCTGGCATTCTATCTGGCCGTTGAGGTCCAGCGGTGCTCACTGAGCTCGGAGGGTCCCAGGTTGACGTCCAGCGGTGCTCACTGAGCTCGGAAGGTCCCAGGTTGAGGTCCAGCAGTGCTCACTGAGCTCGGAAGGTCCCATGCAGCGGTGCTCACTGAGCTCGGAAGGTCCCAGGTTCAGGTCCAGCGGTGCCCAGTGCGCTCAGACCCTTGCAGTTGAGGTCCAGCAGTGCCCACTGCGTGCGGAAGTTGGCGAAGAGCTTGGCGAAGAGTTGGCAAGGCGGAAGTGAACATGGGAGTGGAGTGGAGGAGAAGGAGGAGGACGAGGAGGAGGAGGAAGAGTAGGAGGAGGAGGAGAAGGAGAAGAACAACTCTGATAAAATCTAACAACCCTCACCTGGCAGGTGGAGAAAAAGGCTATCAAGCAATATAATACCCATGACAGTTGGCATTGGTTTTGAACAGGGTCGTGTGGATATCAAGCTGTCGTCCTTCAGAAGAGAAACGCGCTCCAAGGACATGCGGCTCTTGCGACGGCTCACGGGCATGCGAGACAGAAAAAACAATGGAAGGGAAACCAATTGGGATAATGGTGACTTTTTAACATTCCTGCCCATCAAGAACCTTGTACCTCATGAATCCCGAGCTGGAAAGCTGCAAGTGAATATCACATGGTAAATTCTATCTATCAGCTCGATGGTACGTTTGTGGCATCTTGCTGCATGGAATGCCAAGAAAAGCAGGAGGGGGCGCACCGATATCTCCAATGCAATCCTCTTCATCAGACTCAAAATAGTTTGTAGCATCATGGCCTCAAAAGGGAGGAATTCCAAAGGATAATTTGGGGATACAAGGGGCAACTGCCAGAAGAAATGTCCCAAGGGCCAAACCTAGTGGATCCCCTGCATATGCCATTTAGAAGCAAGATGATCCTGAATAGCACACGCACGGGCCACAAGCATTGGTAAAATTTGAAAAAGGACATTCCCACAGTCATATGATGTCATATGATAATCATGGCTTTGCTGCCGGGTGTCCCCTGAATCGAGATCTGCTGAAGCCCGGCCATGCAATTGACCAGGGACGACATTGCTGATCAGGAAATGACAGGATTCTTTACAAATCATTTTGGTGACCCCAACTCTAATTCACTTGTTGGGGTTAACCATGATTGATCATACAAATTCCTGAGTTCCAATCTGGTACATTCAAAAATCATGTTCTTTGACTCAAACCTGAGCCAAGATGATCCTTGGATACCTGAAACAGGGCGAGAAAGGGCAAAGTATAGGCGGTCACGGCAAAGAACGGTCTCCAACTAAAGGCTAAACAAAGTATAGTCTTGGAAGCTCAGGGTATATATATAATAATATATATATTATTAATATATACATATATTGATATTGGTATGGGTGGATGTCTCCAAGAGAGACCGAGGATGGATGTGTTGGATCTTTGTCCAAGAAAAAAAACAGCTGTAGCTTGTTATTTGGCACTCTCACCACAGGGCAAGCTCGCAAGGCTCGGGAATACTGAATTCGAAACCGGTTGGCTCCTTCCATTCCGTGGACCGTTGAGCCTTGAACTTCTCTACATGCATTCCTGCTGGGCCGAGGTTACACTTGCATATTCATTTTCATGACGGATCATGTGTGGAGGCAAAGCCAATGTGAAACACGTCAAACCATCCTTCAAGAGGATTGGCTCGAACTCACCCCTAAAGATGTTTAAAGATGTTTCAAGATCTTTTAAAGATGTTTAAAGTACTTCAAATTTCAACTCAATCTCAAACCCACAAGACATCTCCCTTGGGTCTCGCAGGTGTTGGACACAGCTCTGACCATAGTCACGGCTCAGGGTTGGCAACTAGAGGCTCCGCAATGATTTTGCCGCCCTTCGCACGTTCTCCGAGTTCTCCTTAGTCCTTTGAGTCTCTTTGAAGGATATAATTTGATATAATTCTTGTGCTGTTGCGTTCTGCTTTTTGCTTGCACAAGATTCAGAGGAAATATATGGTAACAATGCTCTCTTCTTCCGTTGAGGATTCTAGAGTATTACTGCCTGATATTGCCCGGGCATTGAATACTTCTGTTCAAGAGAGCTGTCTGCCACAGCAAGTTCACCCAAGGTATTGGTGAGTTGTCAACAAAAATTATGCTGATTTTGTGTACCTTGCCGCTGGTGCTTGCCCAGCAACCACCCATTTGGTAGACTTTCAGTGCTCACGGCCGAAGACCCACCACGCAATCACGCAGTGACAGAATCCAGTCAGCAGAGGGCTGGTATCAGAAGTAGTCGCTAGTCATGATAGCCTCAGAAAGCCTTTTAGAACATCTGGTGGCAGTTGGAAGAGCTTAGTTGGGTTTTACGATGTGATGCTAATGCAGAGTCGAACGCTAGGCAGTGGACGGCAAGGCCCTATTGGAAGAGGCAACGGGGTTCACAAGTTGAGTCTGAGCCTTTTCAGGAGGCTGGTTGGTTGTTTGATCCCGGCCCCAATACTTCCACCCTTTCGGGCTGCGCACCCGGGAAAGGTGCAGAAGATTCTGCCGGACGGCGAGGCCGGCAGTTGAAGGGTCCACGCAGCAGGAGAAGGTTTTTCATGTCTCGCTTATGCGCTTATGCTATGCGGGAAATCAGAGGCTATCCAACGTGCACCAAATTAGCTGATTTAAAGATTCTGAGACCAGAGACTCTGGCTTTTGGCATGGAAAATGGAACTTTTCAATCTGAAGGACTCTAAAGGGTTTTCCGTGAAATGATTCAGTGTCCTAATTTGTGTCGACGCACCCAACTATCGATGCTGCTGCTTCATTACATTCACCACGCATGTGAGGTCTCTGTGCCAAACTTGGCTGTGCTGAGGAAAGTGCTTTCAGGACACTGAGACAATTTGCTCAAATGGCATGAATTTTCCCACGCATTCAAGGCCTGATCTTGAATCCCTATGTTTTCATTACTTCCAGATCTTCCAGGGAACCCCTGCCATCGAAACTGGCTTGTAGACCGCCGCCAGTCCAGGAGTGCAGAAGGAAGAACTTCCAAAGTTTCGCCCTCAGCTCCCCAGGACTCTCGTGATTTTCCTCCATCCCAGTTGCATTTGGACCAGGAGAGCACGCTGCGTTGCAATTGGCCCTGGGGGCTTCTCTTCTCTGTGGCATACTCCTCCGGATCCTTTCACCATCATCTGATGATTGATCATCAATGCAGATTGAGATTTGTCGTTTGATCCACACATATCGGCACTTTGCAAGCCTGAAACCGTCTACAAGTGGAGGCTAAAAGCGGCTAAAGTTCCCACGCCATTGTCTCCCTTCATTAGGGTCTGTCGCCAGGTCGGATGCCGAAACGATCTTTGTTTTGGATGCGGAGAAGGTGTCAAAGCTGGTGGTCGGCTTTGTTTACATGTTCAGTGTCCACCTTTGATCAACTAATCTAAGTAACCCAACCGGGTGGCAGGTGAACCTCTCTCGCGCCTTACAGATCCTTGGGGACGACCCGCATGAGGTGAGAGCCGAAGTCGCGTGGGATGGTTGAGTTTTGCATGAGGAGCGCCAGGAAACCATTGACAATCATAGCAATGAGTCAGGAGAGTGATAAGTCGTAAGTCATGAGCCATGATTTATAAGGTCTTCTGTGGGTTTGTCACTTTCCAGTGATTTGTTGACGATGTCGAAAATTTTGACACTCCGGGCGTCAGGTTCCATAGGAACCCGGGCATCATTTGAGGTTGTGTTAATCCAGAAACTCAGTACCATTGTCAATGCATTGAAATCAAACCTTGTGGTATGTCGTGGAACGGGCTTTTGTTTGGTGAAAGTCGCCTTTAATCTTGGGCGAGTTGTAAGGAGCAGTTGTGTACTGCATTCGAGTCGAAGTCCTACAATGTAGATGCGGAATCTTTCAACTTTTCATACTTTTTCAGTTATTCATACCCATAGGATCCATGTATGCTATATATGGTAACATTTACCATTCATATACCCCCAATGTTAGCATATATACCATACATGGATCCTATGGGATATTAATAATAGATAATAATAGTTACAATAATAATAGTGGATTATCCCTTCATGAATGATCCATTCCCAAATGTGACCACTGTGGCATTCATAATAGTTATCCAGAGATTTTTGAACGGATCACCATGGATCATCCAAGGTTTCCGCGGACGCCAGGTGCGACAGCGATTTCAACTGCCTCCACCTGTGGCACGACCGTCGCTGCGGCATGTGGCATGTGGCATCCCGCTGTGTCCAAATCAGGGATCCTGCCATGCTTTCACCACGTCAGATTTATCGCTTACCGAAGGAAAAAGGGGAATTTCTATATGAATTTCTATGAATTTCTCCATTCTTGTTCCTATTTTGACGATACAAAGTGGATTGATAGTGGATTGTATTGGGAACAAGTGCTTGTGATCCTAGACAATATTTAAATTGATCCCCGTTGTTGACATGGGTCACGGAAGGCGCTTGGGTGGCATGGTCACAACAAATATAGGCGTTTTTTTTTCAGGTACAATATGGTACAATCATCACGGTGCAGCTGATCAGGCTGATCATACTAATCAGCCCCTACTGGGTCTGTATAATTTTGTCTCAACCTTGGTTCCATTGGGTTGCGCCCAGTTATCACCAATTGCAATTGTCGACTCTTGGAATCTCTTGGAGTGGGACACCCATTGTGACTACGCGTATTGGCAGGGTGAAGGCATCATGACTAATGACCATGAAGACATTCAATGGCAGCCTTGTATGATCATGAGACCTTACCTTCTGATTGGACCATAGCGGGCATGGGTGGAAACCATAGCGGGAATCCTTTCTCCAAATTCTCAACTTGGCTGTGTCTATTCCGTTTCTATTCCGTTTCTAGTAATATGGATCTATAGCTGTCGTCTCGTAGCATGCCAGGGCGGGGCCGAAACGTCCACGCTTGGCAGCACCGGTGCAAGGCGCCACGGTTGGATTGAGGCAGTTCGACCAAAAACTCATGGCTAGCCATGCCACATTGGGAGTCATTACATACATGATCATACATGCAAAGCTTCCAGAACTTCCAGGCAGGCAGATTTCTGGAGATGTATGGTTTCGTCATGTTTCGTCCAATGATTATATCCCGACTTCACTACCCGTGTTGCATAGATGGAGAATTCTTGTGCGTATGATTGTATCTGTATAAATTATGAGGATTGGCTTTCGAACAAGCCAATTTGCGGCGGGTCACTTTATGTCTGGCGGGGTCGGGATTTGCAATTGAATCCACTCTGATCTGTCGGGCCGGTTCTTCCAGGATCTGCATTGCAAGTGGATGAGTTTCTGCAAGTCTTCAAGGCCAGCCTTGCCAGCCTTCCTGTCACCACAGATGGTTTAGGTGGCCATGATTTTGCAACTGACCTGGCTTGACAGGACTTGACAAGTTCTGACATGAACAAAGAGAGCCTGTTAGAGGCATGTGCTGCTGCGGTTAATGTGTACCGATTGGACACATCCTGGGCCAGTGTGCTCGAGCTTGATCAAACATCTTGATCCATCACGTTCCTAGGCCGAGACTGATGCATTTTTGTTGTCCCGGGCAATCCTGTCCTACTCAACCCCCATGTTACTTTGCGTGGTCAGATGCTGGCAACAAGAGCCTATGTGGATGAGTTTGAGGCCACTGAAATGTGGGCAGAGAAAGTGCTTTGATGTGTGACGGTAGTGTGACATGAAATCAATTCAGCAAACAGCAGAGGTTTGGCTCTATGATTGTGACAATTATGCTACAGTATGCGCAATTATACGTGCAGTACATAGTCAATCACAACCGTACGTACGTTACATTGTGGTGTGGACTCTTATACTTGATACCCAAGCTATTGAAGTGCTAGCGATGTGTTCTTGGAGGATGGCTTCCAAATAAACTCAATACATTCACTACAGTAGCTATACATCAAGTTGTTGGATGTACAATCAAACAATCGGGCAAGTTATGGACCACTAGTTGTGATATTATTAGACATATTTAGACATTGATCCTCGAGACTTTGACTTCTGCTGCAACTTTGAACGCTTTGCTTGGACTAGCGATGGTTTTCCAGCGTCTAGTCCGTACCAAGACATAGTGTACCTAGCGCAATCCTGGTCGTTCAAAGCCTCAATGGTGAAATTTGTTTATTTGAAAGTTGCTAGTCTTGCATCCGGTTGAAAAAATCAAACCAGTGGCAGCGTGAGACAAGTTTTAAGTGGAGGAATAGACACAGCTTGGATCCAAGTCGATCCAAGTCGCATACGCCCTGTCTCGACCATGCGTCATACACTGTTCCTCGATGCAGGGCACCATCCATGCGATGGATGCGACGCTGTTGCCCAGAGTTGCAAGCCTCAGTTGATGGGTGAGACCTCTCATCATGACTTGCCCGTTGCAATCTTCATGACAAGATATGACAAGGAATCCAAAGCACCACTCATCATCCCAGTTGTGTCGTTGATAGTTCTGGTGTTGGGAAGCGCTGGAAAACCCATTTCAGCTTTCTGCAAGCAGCATGCTACGTCACAGTGGAAGAGTAGTATGATCATCAAATGTTCCTTTTTCTGCTGACCATTATCTTTCGGACATGGTACTAGCCAACAGCGTTGGTGGCGACGGTGGTGGTTGGCCGTCAATCGCGGTCTAGTGGTGATGGTGATGATGTTTGCACTTGCAGGATTGTTGGTCATCAACTATCAAGCTGCTCACTCCATGTGCCTTCATGAGTGTATGATAGAAAGGCACCAAAGTTGCGATTACAACTATCACGAAAAACTAGTCTCAGTCTCGGTGCGGTTGTTGAATCCGTGATACCCAGAACACTGGTCAATCGTGACATTTTGGCGACTTGTAGTGTCAATGATCCTTTTATCATTGTCAATTCCCAGGAACGACGACAAAAACGCAAGCTGCTTGGCTCAGGATCCCTTAGAGCGTCTCAAACAGCTCTTCGAATTGCAATCCCACTGGCGGTCCCGGCACTTGGACTCGACACGTTCCAAAATGCTACCGTGGAGTCCGTGGAGAGTGTAGCTGTTGAGACCTGAAACTGTTTGAAAGATTGAGGATGAGGACTGAGGTGAGTTTTGCACTGAAAACGAGTGCAGTGCAATACCAAGGCCTGAGAGACTGAACAGTCTCATGGCTACCTCCTTGGCGGGGCAGAAGGCACGCTGTGGTCTCGGGGGTGGTGCTGAGCACCTAGCTCAAGTATGGTCTTAACTGAGCATTGGTTGGATACATTGACATTATGTAAATTTGAATTATAGTATTACATAGAATATAACATTATTGGACACAGATGTCGCCACCGCACCTAGGTTATCAGGTTGTTTTTGATTCTCAGATATACTGTAGATGTGCAAAATCTGAATCAGACCTCTATCAGGCCACTTCTGGCCCCATCCAGTGAGTTTGGTCACACGTGTGAATGGGGTACGACTGGGGTGAAGCTACTTGCTCATCGCATCTCACCCCTTCCCATACGTGTGATGAATATTGCATATTATTGCATGATCACATTGGTTTGGCAACTAGTTTATTTTTTTTCGCCTTTTTTGATTTGGTTTGACGTTTGACCTCATTCCAAACCAACATCAAACATGGCCCAAAAGAGAAAACGGCCTCAATTTTGAAGTCCTTGCCTTGATTGCTGGCAAATGAAGAGCAGCTGTGAAAGCACCTCTAAAGGTGCCGCTGTGGCGTTGATCGCATTCCATGTGACCTCTGGATTCTCACGGTCCTCACGGGTGATGTGCGATGTCTGCAGGTAGAAGCATGGTTGGGGAAGCATGCTCGCCAGGCAGGGCAGCGCCTGTCTGAAATCCGCTCAATCTCAATGCCGAAGCCCAATCTATTCAGCAGTGGATGCAACGGATTTCTGGCTTAAGCTAATCTTTTCATTCATCCTTTAGGCTTGTCTTAGTATATCTTATCAGGGAAGGTCATGCTGGAGTGCAGGTTTACATGGAGTTCACCCCTGGGGAAGAGGTCAGAGTCATTGCCTCAGAACCACTGAGGTCTCAATTTCAATTGGATGGAACTGGAACATTGTCGCGTAGATTCCCTAGATTACCTAGATTTAGCACAGTTTGTGACTATGCATACTATGCATACTATGCATGAGTTGTGTTCTAATGTGTTCTAGCACGTTTCAGTACTTCTCTCTGTTGAAGCTTTACATTGCTGAATGCCTTGGACGCTGAGATGATGACCAAAAAGTTTGCCTGAGCTGATTGGGGCTCTGACAGCAGAGCATCACAGCCGGGCAAAAAGATGCAAAAAGCGCCCAGCTTTGCCCGGCTTTGCCCACTGCTCCATGGGATCCAACATGACGTGAACCTCGGGATTCGCTCCACATTGGGAGGCCAAACAGCAGGATTGGGCCGCGTTTCAGAGTCGAGTTTGAAGACCTGGCAGGACCTGGCCACTTCCGCATCAACGCAAGAAGCATCAACTAGGAATGCAACATGTGCATGCCTCACTAGTGTTGTTTTTTTGGACAACACTTCTCCTATCCAGTCTTTTTCCAAAGGTTTGCATATTCAGAGGTAACAATATCCTACAAATTCAATTGGGACCATCAAGCAAAGGTCAAATATTTCGATGCCATATTTCAACCCCAAGGGCCCAAGGACTGCCGTTGCTCAAGCTGGGCAATGAACCCATGAGCTCCACCAAACGATCAGGCCTTTCTCATTTTATAACGCACATATGCTACAAGTAGGACCACCTAAAGGTGCTAAAGGCTTGATGTTTTTCATGTAAACAGGATAAATAGGACAAGCAGTCATCCGATCTGTTTGTTGGCATCCAGAGAGCTGCTAAGTACAGAAATTGTTTCACGATTCAAGGGCAAAGCCAATAGTTATATACCTTGCAGATGTCCTACAGCAGGCATTACATGGCATGACTAATTACCAATATGTAGCCCTTGCCACTAGCAATGAGAGCAAGCCAACTGGCCTGCCATGACAAGCGGTGACCACGCGGAGCAGAAGCAAAAGGCGGGAAGTCATCCGCGTTAAAATTTCAGCTACAGATTGAAGGGCCCTGGGCTAACAACCTAATGCATTTTATCAGTGAAACAGGGTTTTAAAAATGCACCCAGGGCCACCATTTTGTAGCAAAGTAGTTTTTTTAAGGCTGTGTGTGGGCTTATATGGTGAGGCCGTGAATCCATTTTGTAGCTGCTCTTGTTTGGATAACACATGATAACATAAAAAACCCAAACCATTTTGTAGCAACTTGCTGTTTGACCCGGAAAACATTTTGTAGTTTTTTGGTTGGCAATCAAGAAGAAGAACATGTGGGAGCGGCCCTCATGTGGCTACAAAATGAAATCCCTCCACTGGATCTGTAGAAGGATGTAATCGCTACAAAATGACCTGCAACAAAGCAAGAAGTAACATGGTGGATGTTGAAGTTAGAAATACAGCCCTTGGGCATGACATTTTGTAGCAAACCTATGTTGATGCCCCTGGACCCTGGGTTTTCATTTTGTAGTTGGGTGTTTTTGATGGTGGTTGTTCATTTTGTAGCAAACCAGGGTAAGGCCCGAGGTTTGTACTAATAAAATGAGGGGGCACGGGGGCTCCCCGGATATTTCAACCCGGATGGGAAGTCTGGTTCACCCAAAGGACTATACTCATCGTATCTCATCGTGTTGAACTCCGCTTGTTGCTGTGTGGCGTGGGGCAGAGTTGTGATACTATCCAGCATACTGACCAGATTGATTTTGTCCTCAACTTTTCAGTAACAGTGCAGGCCTTGCCAGGGCAGTGGTGTCACAATTTTCAGACGCAGTGGGATCGTCACAAGGCCTATGCTGGCACTCCATGCTTGGCGCTTGGGTTTTGCGTTCCCAACAGTGGCCAATGTGGACTTCATCTCTGTGGGCAACCCATTGGCATCATGGGTGAGCGGTTTAGCAGAAAACGGTCATGTGGTTCTGGACACAGGCATATGCTTCAAGACAGCAGGATCAATACACGGCGTCAAGGCGCATTTCTCCAATCTCAGTGAGGAGTCTTGGCCTCGTTTTCTGGTCTTGGAGCATATGGAAAGTGCCTTGGACATCTGGGCTTATTGCCAATGGTGAAGAAGTTGGGGAGGCAACCCTTTTGTTGAGTTAAAATTAAAGAGAGGCACTCAGGCACTCAGGCCCAAGTCACTTCCAGTTTCATAGCACCAGATACCGGCAGATACACAATACACGGCTTGCCCCTCACTTTGCTACCTCCAAGCATAGTGTATGACAGATTCAACATCATGCCATGTAAAACAATGTAAACTGGAAGTCAACCATAGATAACCATAGATAACCATCATGGCCTGGTGGGAGATTTCAGGTGCACAAGGCTTTTCAGTGACATGGCAAGTGGTGGCCAGCTCCAGCGCAAGAAGAGCATCACTGGCTGGAAGGCCCACCAGGTGTGGCATCCTGTGGCTAGATCTGTTGCATGGGGCCCTGGGGTCTGCTGGGCTGGGGCTATGGGGCTATGGGGCTATATATGTTTGAAGGAGTGCCATGGTATGCCATGGTGCTGCATCCATCAGGATCCATGCCCTGGGAGTGTAAATGAAAATTTTAGGGTCCATTGCGGATGAAAGAAGATCTGCAGCCATTGGGGATACCCTGGGAGCCTGGTAGGTTAAAACTTCTGGCAGCTTTGCCTGTGAAACCTGGACATTGCCTTGGCTGGCACGTGGCGAATGGCAGCGTTTCCTCTGTTGCTTTCGTTGAGACTAGGCCCTATCAGCAGCGATGGATTCTGCCAGATGGCATCTTGGGTTGTTTAATCGCTGGTGGTGTTCAAAACGTTTTGGAAAAGGAACCCAAGTGAGAAAGGATGCTTTTGGAAAGGATCCAATTTCTTTGGAATTCGAAGATGCAACACGCAGTTCATCACGCCTTGGAGTTCTTGTCTTCGTTCTTTTTCAGTCTTGCCCGGCCTTGCCCGGCGCCCTGAGGCAAGAACCAGGGGAGCTTCTCTGCTGTGGCCGAAGTGGTTGGGGAGCCACTGAGCTGGACCGGCCGGACCTTGGACTTCAGCACCGTCAACTTTCGGCGCTATGCCTTGATGGTACCTCGTTCGTGGCAACCACAATCCAACGAACTGTCCTATCATGGTCCTATCATATCTATCATGTCCTATCACAATTCATGGTGTCATGGTGGTTCATTACATCATTTGTGAAGCTCTCCTGATGGTGTGGTGTGTTGAAGTGTTTGTTCTCATTGTGAGGCTTCAGAATTCTCAATCTGGTATCGAGCAAAAGCGTCTTGAGTCTTGAACCTTTTGCGCCACACAGTCCTTGATGTTAAGATAAAAGATATGTTAAGATATGTTAAGATATGTTAAGAGACAATTCAAGGATTTTGTACAAGCTTGGGTCTACCAGATTCATGAGGGAGAATGGGACTATCAGTTTCAATTTGGTACACCACCACGCCCACTCCAGGTAGAGCTTGTGCCCAGTCAGAAGCTTGGCACCAATGACATGGATGAACTCTGCTCAGACATGCCTCGTAAGTGCCGGAACCAAAAATATGGCTATGGATCAATACCTATTAATACCATTTTTAGTGGGATGAACATCCATAAATCCCAGCTATTTTGATGTGAACTACAGGGGTACTATTGGTTTTGACACACTGCCATATGTCTTGCTGTTGATTGCATGCCATGCAACCCATGGAACATGTCCTTTTGCAGATTCTTGCAGCAGCTCTTTAAACAGAGAAGACTGCCTCATTGATTCATTCTGATTCAGCATTTCACATTTCACCTCTCCTTGCCTTGACGGCTTAAGTGGGAGGGAACTTTGGCCAGATCCGATTGCGGCGCGGAAAACTTCGAGCGCTTCTGCTACTTTGTGGCAGAGAACTTCGTGTGTCTTGCCCCAATTGGTTTTGCCTCCAATTGATATTGGTAGGCGGAGCCTGAGCCTTTGGGTTTGGGCTTCTCCTACTGCTGCGCAACTCCATTTACTTTGACATCACCATCTCCTTCTACCTTCACCTTCCTGCCTCGATCTAGCGATCTCTGAGCCAGTGGATGCCACCGCAGGCCAAGCCTGGAACTCCACGTGCTGCCAAGCAAGCACGGCAAGGAACTGCAGGCACAATGTCCACGGCACAGTCCAGTCAGTTTGATAGTGGCATTACCAAGGATTCGTTTATTCCACTGTTTGATGGCCAGCCAAGTTCGTATCAGGAGTGGAGGAAACGGATCAATATTTACCATTTGAAAATGGGTCTTCAGAAACGAAAGGCTGAAAGCATTTTGAACATCATTGGATCTCTTCAGGGTACTGCATGGCGTTTGGTTGAGAATTTTGACCTCACAAAGATCGATGAAGATGGCACTTTCGAGTCTCTGTTGAAAGTGCTTGACAAGGCATTTCATTACGATGCCCGTGTTAGATTGCCTCAGGATTTTGATGCCTACTTCACTCACCTGAGCCGCCGACCAGGTGAAACCTTGCTCAACTTTGTGACTGACCATGATGAGAAGCTTCGCAAGATTGAAGAGCACGGCATCCAGATCCCTTCAGAGATCCAAGGATGGCTTTTGCTGAAGAAGGCGAACATCACCAAGGAGCAGCGTCAGATGATCGTCACTCAGGCACCAAAGTTGGAGAAGTTGAAGGTACAGGAATCCCTGTACCTGATTTTGGGACAGGACCACAAGTCTGCTGTCTCTCACGACCACCATCGACGAGCGGGCTCCGGCCGACTTTTTCGTCGTGGTGCCTACGCTGCCTTGGATGATGACGAGCTTCCTGACGAGCTCTATGAGCCTGACGAAGAGGGGTATTTTGAGTATGACGACGTTTCTGAATATGCGGCCAACGATGATGGTTGGTTTGACGATTCGTTTGATGCCCAAGCTGCCTACTATGAAGATTCTGAACATGGACATGCTGCGGCTGATGAAGCCTTTGACACTGAGCAGTACGATGAGGCATTTGCGGCATACTTGGATGCTCGTCGTCGCTTCCAAGATTTGAAACTCTCAAGGGGGTTCTACCCCGTTGTGGCCGTTGCTGATCAAGGTGCTCTACCAGTTGCCTCTTCATCTCAGCTACCTGTTGGAAAAGGGAAAGGCACTGGCGGGGGAAAATCCAAGGGGAAGCCAAAAGGCCGTGGCAAGGCCTCCAACGTTGTGAAGTATGCCAGGCCTCCTCAAAAGGCTGTGGATCCCCGCGGCCGTGCCTCAGCTGTGTTGCAATGCCTACGTTGTGGAGCTTATGGTCACCAAGCTGCACAGTGTCCCAAGCCGCAGAAGCATTCGGGGCCACCGTCACAGGCCCCCAGTCCAAAGAAGCAGAACACCACTGAAGGCATGGCAGTCTCTCAACTTCCAACTGAATGTGGCCATGTCATCTTTGAGGACACCAACGGACAGCCCAGAGTTGACTGTACGATGCTTGATCCTGGTGCGAGCGCTTTCTTGATGGGAAGCGGGCCATTCCACCGCTATGTGGATCACTTGCGTGAACTTGGATACCCAGTGGACTCCATCGAGATGCAGAGAACCAATCGCACCTTCCATTTCGGTGGCGATCATTCCACAACAAGCCATTGGGTTGCCAAGGTTCCGATGTTCATCAACTGCGCCTTTGGATTTGCACAGGCGTTCATCATCAAGGGAGAAACTCCGATGCTGATGGGCCGCCCCATCATTGAAGAGCTCGGCATCGTCGTCAACTTCAAGCGGCGATCAATGATGTTTGAAGGACACCCTTGGCGACCTATCACTATGGGTTTGCATGGTGAGTACCTCATGTCCCTCACCGAGGACTTTGACTTCGAGCTCATCGGCCAGATGCCTGCCTTTGACCTTACCTTGATGGAAACTCAGACTCCTGGCGACCCACCACAGGTCCTGGACTTTTTGACCTACCAGAAGTCTGAGGGCATCTACACGACCACTGATGCTGACTGGGCCGAGGGTGACCGGAAGATCATCCTGAAGCATTGGAAAACTTTTGAGAATGCCCTTGCAACTGCTGAGAACCAGATCAATCGCATGGTCACTCAGGAGCTCCATGATGTTCAACCACGACCACGTTTGATCTGGGAAGTTTATGCTGGCACCTCCAGAGTCAGCGAAGTTGCATCAGCCCTCGGTTGTGAAGTTTGCACATTTGGGTATGAAACTGGTTGGGATTTCGATCGTGCTTCCGATCGAGCTGCACTCCTCCACAAGCTTGACGAGGACATGCCCGATGAGATACTTTTGGCTCCTCGTTGTGCTCTCTGGTCTCGCATGCAGGCCATCAGTGCAACCACCTCTGAGCGACAAGCCCTTCTGCAAGAACAACGACAGCTTCACCACGACATCCATTTGGATTTTTGCAGGAAGATTTATCTTCGGCAAGTTCGTGGTGGCCGTCATGCGCACCTGGAGCAGCCCCACACTGCACTCAGTTGGCACACAAAGAATCTGAAGTCCTTGCCTGGGTTTCGCACAACGTTTGATATGTGTCAGTATGGAGCCTGCTGCTTAGATGTTGATGGGGTTTGGCGATTGACTCGCAAGACCACTTCCTTGCAGACCACGAAACGAGCTGTTGCCCAAGCACTGCAACTTCGATGCGATGGATCCCATGAACACTGCAGACTCGAAGGCAAGATGCCTGGTTCCGGCAGGTCTCGTACCTCTTTCATGGAGGACTATCAACCAACGATGGCTGCTGTTTTGGCCGCCGCTCTGGCTGCCCCAGAACCTCCTGCTTTCTGGGAGGAAGCCCATGCTGTGAATGAAGAGAAGTTGATCCAAGGTCAACTGATTCAGCTGATGACCACCAACAAGGCCGAGGCCATTCGAGCAGTTCAGCGGCTTCACCGCAATTTGGGTCATCCTACGACCACTGCCTTGGTTGAGATGCTTGAATCCAGACAGGCCTCTGAGACAGTTGTCAATGTTGCTCGCACATTCCAGTGCCAAGCCTGCCTCAAGCACAAGAAGCCGAATCAAGCTGCACCTGCTTCAATGAAAACGGCGTTTCGTTTCAATCAGAGCATCCAGGCTGACACCATGTGGATCAAAACCGGTGACAACAAGATTCCGGTATTATCCATTGTGGATGAAGGTACCAAGTTCCAAGGAGCCTGCGTGATTGACACTGAGAAGGCCGAGCACTACATTCAATCCTTGGAGCGTCACTGGATTGCTCACTTTGGGACCCCCCAGCGTCTCATCACCGACGAGGGGAGGGGATGGCTGCATGATGACTTTGCGGCATGGACTGACTCTTTGAACATTCAACATGTTGTAGCTGCCGGAGAAGCCCACGAACGGCTGTCTCTTGTTGAACGGAGGCATGCCGTACTTCGCAAGGCTGTTGAGGTCTACCTGATGGATTTTGGAATGAGTGGTGCCTCGGCAGTTCGACAAGCCCTTGCATATGTGGTGCCTCAGATGAACAACAACCCTGGCACCTCTGGTTTTTCACCTGCACAATGGGCACTCGGACAGTCACCGTCCTTTCCTGGCGAACTGCTTGGCAACAACTTGAATCCAGTCCATCTTGGCGCCACCTTTGAAGATGAGCTCTCCCGACGTGCTGTGGCGAAGATGGCAATAGTCCAAGCAGACACAGACCAGAAGTTGCGCCGTGCCCTGCTTCGGCGATACGCCGGCACAAATGTGCTGTTGGCCCCAGGCCAACCCTGCTTCTACTGGCGTGATGCCAGAGCAACCGACTTGGAGAAGATCAGATGGAAGGGGCCTGCAACTGTCCTAATGAGAGAGGATGACCCTGAAAGTGGGAAGCCCCGCATCTATTGGATTGGGCACAAGTCACAGCTGCTGCGTTGTGCGCCCCATCATGTCCGACCTGAGATTGGACGCAGTGCATCCACCTTGCTGGGTGACTTTGAGGTAGCCAAGAACGTCATCCAGAACCTGAAGTCCCGAGGCGTCACCCGCTACACCGACCTGACCATCACGAACAAGCGTAGCTTGGATGACGTGGACAGCGACGATGAAGTGCTGGATGATGATGACGATTTGGATGGTGGACCACCACCTCGCCAACGGCGGCGTCTTGTGGACCCTGAGTTTCCAGGCTCACCAGCCCCCTCATTGTCCTACGAGCCTTCCATTCTCAATGAGGAGGTTCCCATGCCTGTTGATGACGAGGTTGGCAATGATGACAACACAGCTGCTGGCTTGCCTGGACTTGCAAGCGACTCACCTGGACTTTTGAGTCATGGCTCACCTGGACTTGGAGCCTCTGTTGGACCAGAACATACCATGGATCTTGGACTTTCAGATCCAGCTCCCATTGGACTTGAGGAGCCTGGTCCCCAGCAGCATCCTGCGATTCCACTGGACACCTCCATGGATGTCCCCATCAGTGTTGGTGAACCATCAAGAGAACCAAGCCCAACACAAGCCAACAGGCCAACGACCTCTGACATGCCTCCACCTTCCAGCATCCCTTCATCATCACAACCACAATTGGATTCCATCACAGCTTCTTACTACCAGCCTGCAACTGCTGAAGACTTCAGAGCACATCGACGACGGCTACAACAACAAGAGACTATGTCATTTGGACCTTTTCGAAGTCGTCGACAAGCCTCTGAATCAGCACCTCCTGATTCAACACATGGTGAGGGCCCATACACCAAGCCCAAGGAGGACGATGGAGCATCCTTTGTTTTTTCTGCCTTTGATGTCGAAGATTTGGATTCATCGGCACTCCCATCTGGCTGGAAATTTGAAAATGGCTACATTCAGCTCACCGAGCAGCCCAAGGACTATTGGGAGATCAAGAGCGGATGCCTGATTCGGCACCATGTGGTTCCTCGAAGAACTCGCTTTGATCCGAACAAGATGTCAGAGAAGGACAAGAGCCACATCCCCATCACCTTGGACAAGCTTGACCCTACTAGAGTGACAGTTTGCACTGGACCAAACGAGGTCAGACACTACCACGATGTCATTGGCGACTTGTCCTCAGCAACGAACAAGCCATGGGTGGGCAGCACCATCTTTCAGATCAACGGCGCCACAAGACAAGAGTTAGGAATGACTGCCTACTCTGTCTCTTCGGCGAAACAAGTTGGGAAGAAGCAGAAAGTAGTTGCCCAACGCAAGATACGCAAGGACAACAACAAGAACGACATCTCAGAGCGCAAACTTAGTCTACAAGATCGACTACTTTTTCAGCAGGCCAAGATGAAGGAGTTGGCTTCGTTTTTCGAAAACGGGGTGTGGACTTTTGAAACCACCCGAGAAGCCGATCCCAACAGAACTATGAGCAGCCGCATGCTACTCAAATGGGCCAAACAGCCAGATGGCTCACCCCGAGCAAAAGCTCGCCTAGTGGTGCGGGGTTACACAGATGCTGATGCGCTGGCTGGCAGATTGGACACGGCATCACCTGCCTCAACTCGATTGGGGCGTGCTTGCCTCCTCAGCATTTCAGCCAATTTGCACTGGTGCGGCTGGAGCGCTGATGTCACGACAGCCTTCTTGCAGGGGTTACCACAAGAGCGCAAGCTATGGGTTAAATTGCCTCCAGACGCGCTTCGACTTCTGGGCGGTGATGAAAACACCCGCATGCTCCTGATCAAGCCAGTTTATGATGCACCAAAGCGATGGTACTTGGAAGCAACCAGAAGATTGACTTCACTTGGCTGGACACCTCATCCTTTGGATCCTTGTCTCTGGCGTTTGTTTGAGCCTGCAACCGAAGGTGAATGCCCTGTTCTTTGTGGACTTTTGACCCTCCATGTTGATGACATGTTAGGAACAGGGAACCCTCAGTCCCAAACATACATGGCTGCTGAAGCTGCATTGAAGCAAGCGTTTTCTTTTCGCACATGGCAGAAAGATGAGCCTTTTGAGTATTGCGGTGCGAAGATGTACCGCGATGATGACGGCACGTGGCATGTGGACCATCAGAGTTACATCAGCAAGATCTCTCCTCTACCCTTGGAAAAGAGCAGACAGCCTCACCAACCTATGTCTGACAGGGAGCATACTATGTTGCGACAGTTGCTGGGTAGCTTGCAGTGGCCTGCCGTGCAGTCATCACCACACCTCCAAGCTTCCACTTCACTTTTGAGTGGTGAGATGAGTTCTGGACTTTCAAGCCCCTTGCTCGAAGCAAATCGGCTGCTGCGGTTTGCAAAAAAGCAACAGTGATGTACACCTGCGATTTCCACCACTTGGAGACCTGAAGGATTTGAGGATCACTTGCATGTTTGATGCAGCACTTGGTGTACGACACGACGGTTCCAGTCAAGGGGGGTTTCTCATTCTCTTGACACACAAAGATGCCTATGCAGGAGTTGAATCTCCATATCATCTTTTGGAATGGCGCAGCATGCGACTGCCTCGAGTGGCACGTTCCAGTCTTGCAGCAGAAGTTCAATCAGCTGCAGCAGCAGTGGATAGCACCGAGTTTGTGGTGCGGTTTTGGCAAATGATGATGGATCCCCGATTGACTTTGCGGGAAACCTTGCAGATCACAAACACGACCTTGACTCCAACCTTCATCACAGATGCCAAGGCCTTGTACGACAGTTTTCATCGAGACAGCATCAACCATGGCGCGACTGACAAACGCACCAACCTTGAGCTTCGAGTGATCCGCGAACAAGTTGAAAGTGTCGGTGGCTTGCTCAAATGGATTTCATCTGAGCGACAGTTTGGAGATGGCTTTACAAAAGTTGCCGCTCGGCAATTACTGAGCGACAGGTTGAGACATGGAGCCATCAAGTTTACCTTTGACCCAGAGTACACGGCCTCCAAGAAGAAGACAGCTTCTCAGAGAGCCAGGAGCAGACAGGAATTTTCAACAACTACCACCAACACTCACCACAACACCACACACAACCTTTCTACTGAAGCAGCAGAAGAAGGTACGCATGATGACCGTCCGCAGTGGACTGAATCAATGGACGTTGACGAGATCTATGGCTCCGTGGATGAGAAACATCTCTGCGAAGAGCAAAGACTCCTTGACGATGCGCACGTCTCGGTGGATGAAGCCACTTTTGTCGAGACCTTTGTGCCTCAGAATGTCCTGCACTCTGACCTCTATGACGTTTCTGACCCCATGCACTCTCCTGAGAATGTCCTGGCCTCTGCCGAGTCCCTTGACCCTGCGAATGACCTAGTGACTGAGAATGCCAACACGTTTGTGAATGCCCAAGCTCCTGCGGAGACCTTTGTTCCTGTGAATGTCAAAGCCCCTGTGGAGAGCTTTGCCCGGGCGAGCAATGTCGCGCGGCCTTGTCTAAAGTATGTCATGGCGCTGTCACTGCTGGCTGGTTGCGCGGGCGACCCCCTGTGGCCAATGGTGGACAAACACCACGACTGGCGTGATCAATGTGCGCTGGGCGAAAACTCGAGCGCGACTGCTCACACTGGTTTTCACTGGATTTGGGTGATCTTCCTTTTCAACCTTGTCTTTTCCGTTTGCTGTTTTTGTGCGGCACTTCTGATGAGACGCCGATGGTTGGAAATGGATCGAGCACGGCTTGAACTATACCGTCAAAATGAATACTTCCGTGCTGAGATCAGGAAACTTCGTAATGAAATCATAGATCATAGACGTTGACTGGCAAAGACAAGACCTGCAGTTGAAAGTTTTGGATCATGACAGGATCCGCAGTGAAGAGCGAGAAGAAGATCAAAGGGTCGTTCGAAAGGCCAGTGGTCTACTTGACCGCATTTTGGTGGAGCTCGAAATCTTGACAGGTTTCTTCATCTATACCACCCCACGAGGGGAATGTTGGCATAGCTCTGATCGATGCACCCATTTGCGAAATTCTGAGAGAGTGCGACGTAGAAGAAGCTGCTCTGGTTGTCATCATGATTTCCTGCCACCCTGGACCAGACATCCAGACTCAGGAACCACATTCTTTGAAGATTGTGCAGCTTTCTTTCACCAACATGGACGTTGGGACTACATGCAGACAGTCATAGAGTGAGAGCCGGACATGTTTTTCTTTTAAGGACTTCCCTTCCGTGTTGATTGCATGCCATGCAACCCATGGAACATGTCCTTTTGCAGATTCTTGCAGCAGCTCTTTAAACAGAGAAGACTGCCTCATTGATTCATTCTGATTCAGCATTTCACATTTCACCTCTCCTTGCCTTGACGGCTTAAGTGGGAGGGAACTTTGGCCAGATCCGATTGCGGCGCGGAAAACTTCGAGCGCTTCCGCTACTTTGTGGCAGAGAACTTCGTGTGTCTTGCCCCAATTGGTTTTGCCTCCAATTGATACTTGCATACATTGTTTCCACGGCATTTGAAATTTGGTCAAGATGGCACATGTTTGAATCAACCCAAGCCATCCAAATGAGGAACAGCTTTTACCACTATGCCATGCGCTATCAAGAGATCCTCCGCCAGAGATGGCAAGAATCTTCTCAAAATATCGTTGATGACTGTTGGTTTCAGGGTGGACTGAGCCCTGAGATGTGCTGCATCCCTGCGGGCACTGGGACTGATTGGTGCTTCGATGCGGTCTACACCTACGAGCGCTGTTGCAAGGGGATCCAAGCACCTGCTGCATGGGTTCCATCGAAGGCTGCGCTTCCAGAAGTGCTACAGCCCAACTTTGTGGAACCAGATGGGACGCTCAGTGCAAGACCACAGTTGACGGTGGACTTGTTTATTCGCAGCCGGTTTGCAGTTGATGCTGGATTTGTGGCTACACAGGCTACACACAATTTCTTCTATTGTTCTGGCCATTTTTCTAGCACTTCATGGTTGTTTTCCACAATGAGCATTCGTTTTATCTTTGTCTAGTATTCAGTCTGTGTCAATATCTTTGATGTGATAAAGTGTCTGAACTTTCTCCAACCAATATACACGCATTGCTTTGTCATTCTCCACGTTTCAATGCACATTTTACGGGCTTTGAGAGCTTTACCTCCTTTCTATTTGAGCTGTTGACAGTCACAATTGAGATTGCTTTCCAGCATCGTTTAGTCGTCCTTTTGCCAAAACTTTCACATAATTCAAACACAACCTGACGGAAAGATGATTGACAAAGACATCCTAATTGAATATCTGAAGATCATGCCATTCGATGCCATTCGGTCGTTCTGAGGCACCTTCCACACAAAGCTGCAGGAGCTAACACATCTCTTACATTCTGTCGCTCTTTTCTGGCCAGCAGACTGGGGAGTGCTGCTGGGATTGCAAGGTCCATTCTCTTTCAACAGAGGGGGGGAGACCAGCCTGGTGGAAAGTTACCTGAGCACCTACAGGCAACCATTTGCACCACACAATCTAGGATAGAACATGATAGAACATGCGAAAGTGTAGGACAGTTTCAATCTTGTCTGTGCCAACACCGCTAAACATGTTGGGGCTGCGAGTGAGCCCAATCCACCATCCACCAACATTCACCTTCACCGTCCAGGTTGGTGGTCTTGGATGGAGACAGCGCTGAAGATGAACACGCTTGTGCACTGCTGCCCAGCTGGAGCCGTTGCTCGCTGCAGCCGAAGCCCAGCTTCTTAGCAAAATTCACCAAGCCCTTCAGCCACATCGATCCCTTCGGTGTTGCTGGAAAAGGACGTTGAATAAACATGAATAAAACCATTAAACACATAATCATATATAACACAATATAACACATATCAATATATCATATAAAACCATCTGAATATATCGAAATCCATGGCGTGTTGAGGATTTTTGTCTAGGGTGCATGCATGTTGGTCCAAAGTTCTATACGTAATATATCATCTACAATTCAGACCGATCGTTTTTCCCTTTCTATCTTGAACAAATTTCAATAGACACGTCTTCCATCACTTTCAGAGGTTCGTTCCAGAGTCCATGTTGTCTAAATCACATCCAGATCTTGTAACAGTCCACTGGCGCCCAAGCTTCGCAGGATTAGACCGGCATCAGGGACTGATCTGGAAAGAATGGAGCGAATGTTGGGCTGACCGACATTCCATGGCCAAGTTTATTGCCATTTCTGATAGCGATGTGGTGCTGACGACCTTTGGAATACCGCAGCTGCTGTTTCAGCCCAAATCCGAAGATAGCAGCTTGGATGAGCTTGGTGTGTCGTTTTATGGCTGAGTTGCATCAACCTGGTAACCATTGGTAGTGTCATTTGCTGCGTTACATCATTGTTACATGCAAAAATGAGTTCCATCCAGTTCCATGATTTTGTCTTTAGCGCCAAGTCCCTGGCTTGGATGACTTCTCCATTGGGACGGGGTCCATGGCATTGCTCCTGAGGCAGTACCGTGAGACCAGTCATTTGGGCGCATGCCGAAAATGTACAGTTTCCCAACACCATTGCTGCCTTGAACCTGCAGTGGCAAGCAGAAACTTGGCTGCAACCATTGGAACATTGGAAATGTGTATCAACGTCACGCAAATTGACGAAGTCTTGCTATTCTTCCATAATATATCTTTAAGAAAAAAAGGGTTGTTTGGGGAACAAACATCCGGGCTTTCTCCCTGGTCTTTTTGACAGTTCCAAGTCATGGAATCAGCGGTTTAAAACTGCCCATTTTCCAAGGAGTTCATGGACAGTTTTCCCCTGGTTGTGAAGCGAAGCCATTTCAGAACGCTGCGGCGGCGGATCGTTTCCTTGTATGGACAAGACCTCACACTCAATGCCACGGAATTTGATGAACACTTTGACGAGTCATTTGTGCGCTATCTTGTTCGAGTACGTGAGCTGTCCGAACAGGTAGGTGGCGTGGAATGTCCTTCGTTTCATTCAATGATGGGCTCAGTGCTATGGTCATTTCATCGGCAGGAATATGTTTGGTCCATTCGTCATGGACATCTGACAGGGGTTCCGCTGCAGCACACTTGCCCACGCTTACGAGTAGCGCAACATGCTGCCTATTGGGGAAGAGAGATTCTTGGCTGGCTGATTTTGTTGCGTTTCTTGTTTTTTCGAAAGATTGAAACATTCAACACAGGAATGTCTAGCCCTTTCGCTAGCTGTTTACCAAAGTAAAGGCCAAACAAAGACCTTATTACATTTGAGTGATTATCCTCCCACGTGAGATGTTTTCAGGCAAAAACACTTTTAGAAAATGAAAGAAATGATGAGAGCCACTTCAAGATTCAATCTCGCTGTTTTCGAGGTTGGTTCCGACTCAACGGCCCAGGAATTGGCTGTCATATGCTGGACTGCCTTTCAAACACTTGAAAGTTGGCGGACGACCTGCTGTCCTGTCAGAGGTCGCCTATGCTGCGCGCAGCAGCACGCTGATCTTGGCAGGGCTTTGTGCCCTGCCATGGATGGAGACAAATACATCGCAACATGTGGATTATGCGCGAGAGCGACAGATTCCTTGTGGCCATTCATGCCTGATTTTCACATTGCTTTTTGCGTGAAAACAATAATCACACTGGGAAGATTTGGGAAAGTTAAGGCAACCTGTTTGATGCATTTCTCGATACAGTTTGGGGAGTTGCAGCAAGCTCCTTGCAATTTCTCACAAAACCCACATTACAATTGATACTTGTGACATTTTGTGACTTTGGATTCATGGTACAGCTCATTCCAATCAATGGATGTCCATCATTGTCCATCCCCTAGTGTGGATTAACAGCCAACAACATTTTCAGTGGCTCATATATTTGACCGATCACTGTTGCATACCGTGATAGCCGTAATACTAGAGGTTCCGGATCCTGATCCTAACTTGTGCAATTCGGTTTTGTGCAGTCTCCAGTCTGCTTGTCACAACCTTCCCACTTTCCTGTAGCTCTCAGGACTTTCACGGTGACTTCTCAGCTACGTCGACCTGATGCTGGACTATTGGAAGTCCAGCGAGACTTGTGCAGCTACGGTCTGGGTTTGGCTGAAGCCACGTCCGAGGTAGAAGATCGGCTACTGGCTCGTGCCTTTCCTGCACAACGATGGACCAGAGCAGAGTCAGAACATTGCGGCAATTTGCAGGTGGAGAAACTGTTGGAAGCATCCTGGCTGCACCATTTTGTCCAAAAGATTTGTGCACTATAACTTTTTTGGCCGTGTTGGAGTAGCCCGGTAGCCCGGTGATGCCCGGTGTCTTCATTTTTTGTCCAGTCAGGCCTATCGACAATTGATGCACAGCATCTCCTTTACCCCACCGCAGTCCCCGCCGTGCTGATGGGACCATGGAAGTCCATCATCCATGGAAGTCCCCAGCGCATCAACCTTAAAGGAGTCTGTTTCGGTTTGACCTCGTGGTGAAGATATGGGTGCCACTTGTGTGCCACAGTGCCCTGGGCAAAAAAATGGGCAACAAAAATGGGCAGCTGTTGAATTTCAGCAGGCGAAGCTGGTGACGATCAGAAGCAGCATCAACGGGCCTCCAAAGATCGGGGCCAGTTGTGATTGTTGTGTACACAGCTTGAACGGAATCCTTGAAAAGCTGGTCGAGACATATGGAGACAACAGGAGAACCGTGAAATTAAGAAGATGTAATGTCTATCTCAGAGTATCTGTGATTGATAAAAGTCCAGTGTGGAGTCTACAAGTGGAATTGGATCTATTGGAATTAGATCTATTGCGAAGAAGGACCTTACTGCCATGAATCATATTAGTATGACGTCCAAATTGTATTTCTTTTAAATGTTGTTTTTACTTTCTATGTGAACCATTCTTTTTGGGCCATGGTTGTTTGGATCCCCAGCCTGTTTTGCGATGCATATATACTCTGCTGACATCGTCTATAAAAAATATCCTGAATTGATGTGATTAATTATCTGATTTCCCATGGCTTCGTTGATTTTCAAATGTTCCGTGATGTGAGTTGCTTCAGAGTTTTCTACGATCTTCCGTATTTGGTGGGAACATTGCGTAGCGCTCCACTACTTTTCATACTAGTGTGATTCATGCACTGTCCTTTCAGTGTTTTTTTTTGCCGTCCTCTTTTTCCAGCAGCGTAGTTGCTGTGGCACTTGGTGTCATTGTGAACTTTTACGCATTTTACGGACGGCTAGGAGACCACTCGGTGGGGCTAGCTGAAAGTGCAAATCCTTGTGGAAATTATGGCTGGCAATATCAATGGTTTGCATCTAGCATCGTGCAGAGCAGTATTCCGAGCAGAATTTCAGAAGCATTCATTTCGGATCCTTTGTGTCTGTCCAAGGTCAAAAAAGGTTTAGTAAACCACATTGACGTGATTCCTGGTAGAACAGACTTCTTTGAATGATTTTGAGGGTCCAATGTTTTAAATTGTAATTACAAACAATGCCTACAGCATGTCATAGCTTATTTGAAGAACATTGAGTCTGCTCTTGGATGAAAATTGCTCCGTGTGAAAGACTTTGCTTCTTGTTCTGGATTGTGCCAACCCCTCTTTTTATGATCTTGCATCCTCTTGCTCTCATGTTGCAGCTTTTCAGTGAAAGATGTAGCCGTGATGAGCGTTGGAATTAAGCCAAGAGAGGATTGAACAACTTGCAGACAGCATCCTCTTACCAGTCGAACCACCGCCATTCCTGCAGCGCCTCAATTTTATACGAAAAGAACAAGCTGAAATGCATTGAAATGCTAGCTCTTGGCATCCATTCTAGCAACCATGCTTTCGTCAGGCTGACATTTTTCCAGAATAGCCAATCGCCATAGAAAAAACCATCCTATACTCTGCTAGCAGACCATGGGTTCACGGTGTGAGTGCCGCTATGCCGCTATGCGGACGCTGCATGAACGCGTGGCTGTTGGATCTCAATGGGTGAGTCTAGCGAGCTGTGATGTTTCGCTTGCCAGCCTTGGCACTGGGTGCTTTCTGTGTTTCGGGTCTTTCGGACCTGGAGATTGCAGAGCGAATCAAAGCTGTCAATGCTGTCCTGAAGTGTGAGACCAGGGAGTGGGATCACCTTCCAGGCGCCAGTAGCTTGAAAAAACTCAGTCGTGATGTCGTAGTTCTTCAGAAAAAAATAAATATATAATGTATAATTACAATGGCTTTGGAACATTCTGTGTTGATTTGTATTGCCCATGAGCATCCATAAGCTGTAATGGCAGCGAAGGCCATGAAGATCTCTTCCTAGTTGACTTAATCTCTGTTGGCATGAGTGAACCACAGCTGGGTGACTGTATCTCACTTGTCGGGTGTGCCGTATAAGTTTTAAAAAAGAAGATAAAGAAGCATGATTTGGGTGTTTTCCCTAACCCATAGGATCCATGTATGGTATATATGCTAACATTTGGGGTATATTGATGGTAAATGTTACCATATATAGCATACATGGATCCTATGGGTAATGTATTGGTGTCCCAATCTTTGACCAATTTGTTTCTTTCTTCCACCACCTACATAACATGCGTCGCTCAGGTCATGGTGACTTTACCTGGGGGAAATTAAACGCGGCTCTGCGGTATGCCCACAAGCCTTCAGGTGGGTGTGGTAAGCCTTCCTGAATCGTTTTTTGGGGGACATACTGCAGGGCCCTGGCAAACAGAGAACGTGACAGTACGTGCTCAATGCACTCTTAATGCAGCAAAACTTGGGTCCTTGGGGTGTCCAATCTGTATGTTTTCGGGTTTGTACAACAGCTCCAAGCCAGCAATCAAGCATTTGCTCTTGATGCGTAATCTAGAATAGATATAAGACTTTGGTCAGGATTGAGGTGCAAGTCGCTTCGATTGGGGAGGGATCTTTCGGACAATTATTCCCAGCTGCGATGGTTTTCCCAGGGATAAGTGGATATCGAGGTGACCTCGAAGATGTGTTGAATCTGAGCCGTGCAGCCTTCGATTTGATGGAGCCCAAAGCCGTGGAGAAGATTCGCTGGGTGGAGGTGAGATTGATGGCACCCGATGCTGGGACCTGGGTGGTGTCAGAGACGGTTCTGGGGGTCTCGCAGAGAAACCGTGGGTGAACCACGGTAAACCAGCATCAGGAGCAATAAAGACCACAAATTATTGACTCCCTCTGAGACAAACTTATTGGGACAACATGTTTACTGTGATTAATTTTTGATGATTTGTGGCGGTTTTGAGTCCAAATTTGAACTCCCAGCTTCATTGTTTTCATGTGTTGGGAAATCAACCGCTTGCATCTTTTGGGCTTACAGCTCGGCAGTTTCTGTATGTGATGAGCAGGATCCAATCTCCTTTGTGCACTTACTGCAGGAGGTGGCCTTGTTCAGGTCATTTAGATAGCTGTTGATTGTGTCGTTGCTGTGTTCAGATTTCCCAATTTGGACGTGACCAAAGCCTTACTGAACAAAGATACCTTGATCTGGTAGCCCGCTTGACTGTGATCCTCGGCGAATTGGCTGCACACTCCTCCTGGCCCTGGGAATTAGGTAGGAGCACTGAAAGCCAAAGCAGACCCCAAGATCACCGCAGAGTGAGATCATCCAGTAGGTCATCCTCTGATCATAGCCCCCTTCGTCGCCGGATCGGGTGCCAGATTGCAAGGGAAGAAAGGCACGAGGAAACTAGGGAGGCTAGGTCAAGAAACTTGGACCCCTACTGTGAGGCATCGCCGTGCTCCCAGCCCAAACCGTCCTGTCCATTCGGCACAATCGGCTCTTGAGCTCAGGCCTGCCCCGCGACCTCCTCACAAACAGGAGGGCGATCAAGCAGCACCTCACTACAACACGCCTCCACCACCTCCGCCTCCAAAATGGTCTACTGAGAACAACCAGGTAGCCAGAGGAGCAAGGCAGTAGACACTCAGGCAAGGCAAAGGCAAGGGTGGCAAAGGCAGTGGTAGAGGAGAGAAGAAACCGAAAAAGAAAAACCGTGGAAAGCAGTTGGGCAGCCAGGTGTGAAGCAAAAGGAAAAGGCAAAGGACAAACCACAACAGACAAACCTCAAAACCAAGCTCCTCAAGCTTGTGTACCTTCTGTGGTCCACCCTCGATTCAATCCACCTGGAGATCCACGACCCCACGTCCTACACAGCCGGGTGTTACCCATGGGGTATATAAATTCGGTAGCCATAGCTCAACACTTGCATCGGCGCGTGGCCGCCAGGGCCATGGCTGCTTCACGCATTGTAGGTCCCCAAGACGAAATCAGGCGGGATCTGGAGCTGCCAAGAACCCAACATGCTTTTCGGGTGTATTTGGACAACTTTGACCAGTTGTCCAAAGTATCCCAAAGGGTTATTTTATCCCATACTCCCTCCTGGACAGAATTTCTGAGGAAGGAATACTTGCGGTTAAAGGTGCCCCGAAATGAGAAAAAGGCAGTTGATAGGCAAGCGCAGGCGGAAGTGCAAGGAGCATGGATCGATGGCAATGCAGGTTTTTGTTGTGCAAAGGTTGGCAAATTCAGTAAATACTTGTGGGCCCTCCTAGACCTCCTAACTCCTAACAAAGAAGGAGGTTAGCCAAAAGCAGATGCAAATGTTGACGGGTGGTTTAGTGTACCTTCTTTTCCTTCCACGCGATTTCATGAATACATGGACACGGTTTGTTTTGAAGATGTGCGATCATGGGCTGCAGCGTTCCCAAATACCAAACTGGTGGTTCTTGGCGGGAGTCTGCCCTCCCAAATTGCAAAAGGGAAGGGCGAGTTGGACATGACATGTGTTTTCCTCAGGTTGAAAACTTGGCTGACAAACATTTTTCATTGGTGTCCTGTAAAGATTTTGGTTGAGTCCCCCACTTGCATAACTAAAGCTGATCGAAGTCGGTTGAGCAAAACGATCGGTTTCCTGCCGTACGAACTCGATTCTTGCGGCATTTCTCCTTGCCACTGGCCGAGGTACTGGTGGTTCAACTGGGAAGTCACCGAGAAGGAAGGTGTAGAGATCTACCCTCCTTCTGACCCACAAAGTAAAAATTGGGGAAAATAATTCTTACTCGTGACTTTCGGAGCAAAGATTTCCTTCAGCCGGGTTGCGCCCTGGCAGGCGGTACAGAGCACAGGGTGCCGACTTTTACGGCCGCGCAGCCGCAGACTCAGCCAGGCTTCAAGCAAACCGGCTTAGACAATTGCAGCCAACGCGATCTGCATTATTGGAAAGAAGACAGATGCCGGTTTCCTCCTTATGTCTATCAATTCAAGCACGGGGTAATGCACAAGACACGCGGGTGGAGAATGTTGCACGTAGAGGAGAAGGAAGCCATGATGTTCTTGCCCGTAGGCTACACATACATACACATACCATTGCTGCACCAAAACCATCAGAAAGCAGAACCCGTTAGAATGGGATGACTGGCGAATGACACTTGTTGGTAGTTCGTGGCATGTAGGAGTTGTCTCTTTCCTCCTTCAGGAGCTTCTAGCGACCCTAGGGCTCCGTCCACAGAAAACATTAGTTGAGACTCTCGCCCGGCTCAGGCCTGGCAGTGCTGAAAGCTTGGGCGCGTTGTTATTTCGACCGGCTTTTGCAACACGAAAACCTTTTTTTCCAAAGTGGTCGTGATCTGATCAAAGAGCAGAACTTAGTTTCAAGATTGTGCCACCTGGTTTCCACCAAAGGCACGGATGTGTTGCTTAAGTCCACTACTGATACAGTACCCACCAGTCATCGTTTCCGACAAAGTATTCCCCCAAAATTGTGGAGGTGGAAGGTTGTTTGCAGCTGGCGGTGGCCTGTCAGCCCACACGGTCCCCAACACATAAACAAACTTGAAATCAAAGCCATCTACACATCCCTGAAATGGCGTATATTCCAACAGAGAGTCTCCAAGAGCAAGTGCCTCCATTTGGTAGACTCAATGGTTTCACTTCAAATTCTCAACAAAGGCCGGTCGTCAAGCCATAAACTGCGGTTGGTTTGTAAGAAGATAGCTTCCCTCCTGATTGCTTCTCGGATACTCCTGGTCTTGTCATACGTAGAATCTTCCCGAAATCCGGCCGACAGGCCGAGCCGAAAACCTCAGAAACGAAAATGGGGAAGCGTAAAATAGTTGAAGCAGTTGACAAGCAGGAGCGTATCAAGAGGCGCAAAGGATTGGGAAAGCTAGCAGATTTAGTTATCCAACCGCCCACTGCCACTAGGTATGAGAAAGCCTTAAAAAAGTGTTTCGGGCATTTGCAACAACAAAACCAGCATATTGGAGATTCCCATTTGGCCGTTGACCAGCAACTTTCAAACTATTTGGAAGTTCTTTGGGAGGAAGGTGAACCTCTATCTTTGGCAGGTGACACCATTTCAGCAGTACAGCATCACCAGCCCTCCTTGCGTAAGCGTTTATCAGGAGCTTGGCGTTTGTACAAGGCATGGCAGCAAAGAGAGCTCCCAGCCAGGCCACCTCCTTTCACCATAGAAACGCTCCAAGTGTTGCTCGGTTGGTTGCACAGCAAATCTCCACCGGTTGCCTTAGCTGTTTTCCTTGCTTTCCGATGTTTGCTAAGAACTGGAGAAATGTTAGCAGTAACTGCCCGTGACATAGTCATTCCGTCGAATTCTTGTTCAGGTGTTTTGTATCTGGGAGACAAAAACTTCAGGACGGAATCCAAATGCAGGGATGGTGAGCCTAACTGACCCGACTTTAGTTTTTTTTGCTCAAAGCTTGGAAAAGTACAATATCCCCTCACACAGCTTTGATCCCTTGGTCGTCTACAAAATTTCGCGTGCTATTTGAGGAAGGTTTAGTCTCGACAAACCTCCAACACTACAAATTCAAACCGTATTCCCTACGCCGGGGAGGAGCCACAGATCAATGGCTCCTGACCAAAAATTATACCCAGGTTTCACATCTAGGAAGGTGGTCTTCAGAAAAAACGTTAAAAATCTACATCCAGGATAACGTTGCCCTCCTCACAACTTTGCAATTTAAATCCTCTCCTACTCAACAGCGTTGGACCAGATATTGGCTAGATAAATGCCGAGTTGAGCCTTTGTCTCACAGACAAAAAGGAGGGGGACGTGGAAGGAGGTCAAAGTGAAACTTTGTCTCTCCTAAAAAAGGTTGTCTCATTTTTGTTTTATCAAAAAATTGACTCCTAAACCATGTTACTAGTCAAAGTCAAAATGTTGTTTACAAAAGAGGCAGGGGGGAACGCGTTCTGTTTTATTTTTCTTTATACCAACCAAGTCTTGCGCCAGCACCAAAAGGAGCGAGGGTGTTTTCCTAGCTTCACTGTTTTCATGTGTTAGGAAATCAACCGCCTGCATCTTTTGGGCTTATAGCTCGGCAGTTTCTCCCACCTCTCCCACCCTGCCTCCAAAGTGAAACTTTGTCTCTCCTAAAAAAGGTTGTCTCATTTTTGTTTTATCAAAAATCTGACTCCTAAACCATGTTACTAGTCAAAGTCAAAATGTTGTTTACAAAAGAGGCAGGGGGGAACGCGTTCTGTTTTATTTTTTCTTTATACCAACCAAGTCTTGCGCCAGCACCAAAAGGAGCGAGGGTGTTTTCCTAGGGTATGTGCTCTAGGTGGAGACTGGTTCAATTTTCTGGCTTGAACTGTGCCAACTCCAGGCCATTCACGGGTTACTGATTTCTATGATAGGTTTCTAATGGTTTCTATGTGTTTCACATGGTCCCAAAATGTCCCAAACATGCCCTGCTTTTCAAACCTCCCGGCTCTTTGTCTCTGCATCTCTTTCCAAGATTTTCCAAGGACAGGAGGTCAAAGGAAACACAGGCGCGTTTTCTGCAACTCTATTTGGCGGAATTGGAAAGGAGCCATGTCAGCAGATAGATGCAGATAGTATGGATATTTTTGGATCAACACTTTGCTGACGAAGTCCCAGAATGTCGGACAGATCAGAAAGTGATTTTTTCTTTCTGCTGTTGAACAATGGAGTGCAGGTCTAGACTAGTCAATTGTCCTTTCTTGACTCCCAAGTACTCCTAAGCACCATGTTCTAATATTAAATCTAAATCCAATTGTACAAGCTGTGCAAAAGTTAAGTGGGACCCGCTACTCTTGTGAGAATGGCTCTCTGGCTGAGTTGGACACGCTGTTTCTTTTTCACATCAGCCTGTCTATCGGGGTAATACATATTAATACATGGTAATAGGGCATCGAAGCATTTTCCAACATTTTCCAAGGTATGGTCTTGAGAAGAAGCAATTGGATCGTGTGGAGAATTCACTTCTGGATCCAGGTGAACTGAAGGGTCAACTCACGGACTTTTGTATCTTTCCCTACCTGGCTGCAGTGATATTTTTGGTGAAACATGACGCCGGTGAAAGGCAAAAATACCTGGATCACTTGTGCCAGTTGCTGGATGCTGGTGGAATTCATTGGATTGTGCTGCTTCTTTGGGCTCATGTTCGGCTGATGAGTCCAAGTGAGGCCATTCGCACCTTGGAAGAGCACGGGGTCATGAAATGTTCGCTGCAAATGGTGCCTCGACCAAGGCCACCCAAGGCCGCTCCAAGCTTTGAAGCCTCGACTCTGAGAAGTGGCCGCGCCTTAAGGGTGGTCTTGTGGTCCGGACATGGCTTCGCATGGGATTCCTTGATGGCCAGCCACGAGGCTGCAGTGCAAGAAGGCATGAAGTGGCAAGGGCTCATCTTGGGATTCGCTTTAGCAGAGACTTGCCCTGGACGTTGCAAGATTTTATCGAAATTGCCCATCAAAGCCTGAGCAATACCTAGATGGAATTCAATGCAGATGTGAAGAAATGGCACGGTGGTAGGGGAATCCTGATGACACGACTTGGCATTGAAAATTCGGAGACGCTGGTAGAGAAGCTTCAGCGATCCATTTTGAAGAGTAAAAAACCTGCCAAAAGCTTGTGAGCAGGAAACGATCTGTGTTAAAAGATGTTAAGAACCCAAATGTACAAGAGCCCTCAAAGGATGGCAATCAGATGAAGCACAATGAATCAGTTGTTTTTTTTTGCTATTTACCTATTTCCTTTAGCCTTTGTGGGGTGAATGTTCCGCAATCAGGAAAAGCACAAAGTTGCGAGAGAGAACTGCCAGAAAATTGGCATCCACCTGGGGACAGACGCCTTGTGCCAGCACAGCCGAACTCTGGGGCCATTGCTGGAACTGGTGGCTGGGGAGGGCTTGGGAACCGAGACAGGCCTTTCGGTGCATCAAGCGAAGAGGACCGGAGCAGACTTTAGGCCAGTTGTTTGGGTGTAGGAACTCCATAGAACTTCAATAGTGCGAAAGTGTCACAATAAAGCCACCTTGGGTTTGTCGCATAAGATTCGAGCATGCGGTATGTGACAAACATGCAGAGGATTTCAGGCGCAGAATCCCTGAATTATGGGTTCCTTGCAGTGACCAATCCTCTCGTTGGAGCCAACGGAATCTTGAAAAACAACCCATAGCCGCATTTCAGCCCCACAATTTTGAGATCTAGTGAATCTAGTTTGGATGTTGGGATCGCGATGAGTCCCTCCATGCCCCTCAGATTCAGGATGCTGGATGCTGCTCGTGCAGAGTTTCCGATGCTGAAGATGGCTGACTTGGTGATCTGCAGCTATCCTTATGTTCTATGCCCCTTTCTTGGAACATACGAAGGCAGGGTGGGGTGCCTTGATTTGCAGCAGCGAAGCCATGCCTATGAAAGATTATGAAAGTATAGTAAGTATCCACACCTTAGTTAGTGATCGAAGGAAGTTTAGAAGTCAAACTTCCGACAATATCGAGAGATGAAAAAGCAGTCAGCAGGGAGAAGAGTCAGAAGAGAAAAGATCAGAAGAAAGAAGATGCAGGTGCGCGAAAAGGTAGGAAAGTCGCGAAACACTGTGTTTTTTCGTGGTTTTGTGGCTCCGGAGGGTTCAAAAGTAGGCTCGCTAAAGCGGCGGGTGCGGAGACATCTGGGGAGATGAGAGATGAAAAGTTGCACGCTGTTGTGGCGCGAAGCCGATTTCGAAGTGAAAAGGTACAAAACACCTCAGGATCGGACCACTTTTGGAAGTTGAGATGTTGAAAAAGTGCACGGCGTTGTGGCGCGAAGCACATTTGGAAGTAAAATGTGTTAAAAACTGAGGGGTTCGGAGCACTTTTGGAAGTTGAGATGACGAAAAAGTGCACGGCGTTGTGGCGCGAAGCACATTTGGAAGTAAAATGTGTTAAAAACTGAGGGGTTCGGAGCAGTTTTGGAAGTTGAGATGACGAAAAAGTGCACGGCGTTGTGGCGCGAAGCACATTTGGAAGTAAAAGTGTTAAAAACTGAGGGTCTCGGAGCACTTTTGGAAGTTGAGATGTCGAAAAAGTGCACGGCGTTGTGGCGCGAAGCACATTTGGAAGTCAAAAGTGTTAAAAACTGGCGGTCTCGGAGCACTTTTGGAAGTTGAGATGTCGAAAAAGTGCACGGCGTTGTGGCGCGAAGCACATTTCGAAGTCAAAAGTGTTAAAAACTGAGGGTCTCGGAGCAGTTTTGGAAGTTGAGATGTCGAAAGAGTGCACGGCGTTGTGGCGCGAAGCACATTTCGAAGTCGAAAAAGTGTTAAAAACTGAGGGTCTCGGAGACATTTTGGACGTTCAGACGTCGTTTTTGTGAGATAGACAGGTAGATGGATCGACAGATGGACACATAGATCGCTAGATCGAAAGATCGCTAGAAGCGTCAATGATGAGATAAACGCATGGGTAGCTAGATAGATGGATGGATGGCTGGAAGAAGAGGTAGACGACAGATGCATGGATGAATCGATAGAGAAACAGAACGAAGAACATGGTGATGGATAGCTGTGGACATGGATCGATGAAGAGATGGACGGGAAAAAAAACTAACAGAGAGAAGTAAGTGGATGGATGAATGGCTGGATAGACAGAAAGATAGACAGTTTAATAGATAGGTGAATAAACAAATCGATCGATAGATACATGAATAGACAGGTAGATAGGTAGATTGCTAGAAAGGTAGCTCTGTAGATAGATGGCGAAAGAGAGACACAGAGAGAAAGAGAGAAAGAGAGACAGAAAGGGAGAAACACTCAACCACCTTTCAATCCATCAGTGGGTTCACTCTGCCATTTTTGCGTCACACCAACTCACCTCTCCTATAGGTTTTCCATTTTTGAAACTTCCGCCACCGCCTTGTGCGGAACTACTGGTAAACAGGGAAACAAGATGAAGCACGATTTCAAGACAGATGTGACATGAGATACAGCCAAGTGCATCCAGAATCTGGGACAGCCTCTAGATGATTTGATTTGCTGATGCAAACTCCATTTTCAATCATTTTCAATCTTTATACATCCTTGGTATTTCCAATCAATTCCGATCTATGATGTGCCGGACCATTCACATTCCTTTGAATCTTGCGCGCTAGCATGGTAGTGAAGTCGGCCCAGCATGGCCCAGCGGATGCCGGCATCAGTTTAGCCAGGCTTCAAGGACACTGCCATGCTGACAGTGGTGAAAGGTGCGGGCTCCATGGCGGAGTATGCTCACGCATCCCTGGTTCCCTGGATCCTGGGCATCTACAAGCGCACCTCGGCACCACGATCACAAGGCAGATCCCCTGTAGGCTGAACTGCGAAAACCTGCCAACCACAAGACATGATGAGGCCGATTAGGTAATATACGTATGGTAATAGTATGTCATAAAAAAGTCTTGCTGCTATTGTCGCAATAGCTTTTGGATCACTCATTCACCTGCAGCTAGGAAACGCAAGACTCCAGACAAGCTCAAAACAATGGTGTGTGTGTATAATATATATATATATATTATAATATATATATATAATATTAAATTTATATATAATACAATATATATATATATATATATATTATATGTATTTTATATGTATCAACACCGCGGAAGGACACCCACTCCAAACTGATTGGTTGATGGCACCAGCATGATACAAATGGAGCCTCTATACACTGTTGCTTGTTGTCCTAGCGATATCATGTTATGTATAGACTACAATTATTAATTACTTATACAGTATACACTACACACTTTTCCTGTATGGATTGCATCATTATTGAATTTATGTTTCCAATCAATGTATTTCAACCATTTGGATCCATTGAGAACACTCATATCATCAACGCGGGAGTTAGGCATTGAAAAAGGTAACCACATGTAATTGGTGGAAATTCCACAAACCCGGGCTTTGCCAATTTGCCTGCCACAGAGGTTGGATGACTGCAACAGACTCGGGCGTTGGTACCCCACGGAAAGTGGTTTGCGCTGATGCTATCGATCCTGCCATCGTGCAAGCAACCTTCGGGGACCACGTGTCTCCACAATTGGTTGACTTCGGGGCTCGCTATGTCTTGCACCTGGCTGGTGGGGTCCAATGTGACCTTAGGGCCAAGACCAAGACACTTGGTGTTTCATGTGCCATGTTGAACCTGCCAAGTCCAGGGTGCAGAAACCACCAGGAACCCAACCCGAAGATTCTGGGGGAGGTTCGCATCATCTGATCTGAGCAATGATAGGGACGATAGACAGACTGCATAGACACAGTGTTTGCAGAGTTGGCATGAATGTGCTACGGCATGCTACGGCTATGTCTTCCGAAGTACTGAATTTCTAGAAACATGTTGGAGCCCCTTTGTGGTCTTCGATGTTTTTTCTTCCAGGCATTTTTTACGGGACTTGCACCTCCTGCGACGTTTATACCTTCGCAACCTGATCGGGTTTCAACAAAATTAGAGGAGCCCAGGTATAAACGTGCTCTTGGCTTTGTTTGTTTCCGCACACTAGGAGCGACATTCCCTTCGCGAACCTGGGAGGCCAGGTCATACATAGTTTAGTCCGCTGGCGGTGCAGAAGTGAACAAAATCAATACATTTTGACGGACTAAATTCATCCGCCCTAGAGTGGGCCTGTGCATCCAGTATCAAACATCCCCCCGAAGTCCCTATCCTCCTTTTCGTCTTTCTTATTGACATTGCTGTCCTCCTCTCATCCTCCTCCTCCTCCTCATCATCATCATCATCATCATCACCATCATCATCACCATCATCATCACCATCATCATCACCATCATCATCACCATCATCATCATCATCATCATAATCCTCATAATCCTCATAATCCTCATAATCCTCATAATCCTCATAATCCTCATAATCCTCATAATCCTCATAATCCTCATAATCCTCATAATCCTCATAATCCTCATCCTCATCCTTCTCCTCATCATCATCGTCATCGTCATCGTCATCGTCATCATCGTCGTCATCGTCATCATCGTCGTCATCATCATCATCATCGTCATCATCGTCATCATTGTCATCATTGTCATCATTGTCATCATTGTCATCATCGTCATCATCGTCATCATCATCGCCATCGTCATCGTCATCATCATCATCATCATCCTCATCCTCCTCCTCCTCATCATCATCATCATCACCATCATCATCATAATCCTCCTCCTCCTCCTCCTCATAATCCTCCTCCTCCTCCTCCTCATAATCCTCCTCCTCATCATCATCCTCCTCCTCATCATCGTTCTCCTCCTCCTCATCATCCTCATCCTCATCATCATCCTCCTCCTCATCATCGTTCTCCTCCTCCTCATCATCCTCATCCTCATCATCATCATTATTATTATCATCATCTCGTCATAATCTCGTCATCATCGTCACCTCCAGCAGGAAAGCCAGATGAACCTCATTTTGTCCCAAGGACTCTGCTGGTGTGGCGTCTTTTCTCCATCTTTCCCGGCCTCGATGCCATGGCCATGAACACCATCCTGAGCGGTTTCCAAAATGCGCCACCTCCGCCTTGGAAAGTGGAACTTATGCAAGCCACTTAACTGCACTGTGGTCGAAGGAACGGTAGTCTTAGTAAGTAAGCACTATCAGCATTGGTAAGCATTACTGAGAATTAGTACCGGTTCATCTCCTATCAAAATCTATTGGGCATCATTGTGCGAGGTCTATTCTAGTGACATTCTAGTGATTTTTTTTTCCGACAACTTTACACGTCTAGAAGGTGACATCAAAGTGCTTATGGTTTCTCAAGATCACGACAGGATGACACTTCAAGGTCAAAGCACAAAACTTGAATTAGTTCATATTGTTTCGTTCATAATGAATTTGAACACATAATTATAATGAATGATGATTGATCATGCCCTTTTTCCACACATACATTGAAGGGTGAACCTCCCGAAAATTTCAACGGGTCGAGTCAACTCTGTGACTGCCAGTGGTTAGATCAAAAACGGAAGACCAGTAGTAAGAATATGTAAGAATACCAATATTGATCAATATTGATGAGCATGATGACTTAGATTTCTCAGTCAAGAAACTGGAGGAAGGTCGGAAGGGCACTAAAGATATGTGGTGAAGGCCCTGGGGCGAGTTGGGTCGTCGACAGGACACGATTGAGTTCACCTACAAGGATTTGCAGGACGCGTCAGCCATTTTGCAGGTGCGGAGCAGGATTCAGGTCACTCAATTCACTCAGGGGGCTCATGGAAGACCAAAAAGACAGCATTGAGAAGGGTTCCTAATTGCATGTTCCTACATTCCCCTGAGATCACCTTGAGATTGATTTCCTTGCCACGGAAGGCTTTTCGTTTGGAGTAACTTCCTGGTTGAAACACCTTCAGCTAGCGCTAATATTTTCAGAAGGAATTCTCAAGTTCAGGGAGATTTTGTTCACTTCGTCCTATCTTGATCTATCTTGGCTATCTTGTCTCATTTGAGTTGGGACGGTAATTATACACGGAGGCACAGGGAGCGACTAAGGGCCACACAGTTGTTCATACACATCAGCGTATGTTGAGGTGATGATAAATTGCAGGGCATCAGCCAGCCAAGAGACTGCGTGACTGTCGTTTCTGAGGTGGCTTGAAGGCTTGAAGGTTGAACTGTGACTCTCTGCTTGCCGAAGCTGAGATGTCCGACTTCCAAGTAAATCTGTGCCGGGCAGACCATTATTGTGTTGAAGAATGCTTTTGCTGGCAGACAATGTATGAGCAACCGGTTTTTGCGCGGAAGTATGTGTGTTTAAAAACCAGATTAGATGGAAAACAAGGTGGGGTCAAAAGACAAAACGAGGCAGGACAAGAATTACATCGAAGATGCAGAAAAAGTAAAGCAACTGTGGCATTGAAACCAAAGTCAGCGATAAAGTGGATAAAGACTGGTATTACAGTATGGGAATGGAAAACAAGATAGAGCCGCCATGAGCCAACAACCTTAGCGACGATGATTGACAAGCACTACAAAGATGATGAGTAGGCGCCCATGGAAGAAGAGCTATACAGCATGCCATAGCAGGCTCTAGCATGCTACTGCATGCTACTGCTAAAGCATGCTAAAACTAGATGTTTCTGTCAGCCGGTCCTGGCAGGTGCCATGGGACTGGGCACTGGTCTCTTCTTCGCAATTCATCCAGCCGTTTTCCCTGTCTTGTGCTCACCTCCATTTGAGCCGTGCCAGTTGTTTCAGCCTCCGATTCCAATTCATATAATTCATAAATCTTATGGATTTAATTTGACAGCTTATGACAGCTTGTTATTATCTTCCAATTCCATCATCCAGCGATCCTGCCCCAATGCCCCAAACGATTCCCATGGCGAAAAAAGCTGCAGTTTAGCTCTCAGCATCGCAGGTTTCATTCATGGAATTTCTGGCTCTTGGGATTCCGTTGATTCTGCCCAACAGGGACTACATGCATTCGTTGATCACCACGGTGTATTGGTCCCGTCTGGCCAATCGCAGTGTTTGGAGTCTGTCCTGGAAGAGACGCTTCCTTCAACTGGTGCCGGAAGATTGGGAGGCCTTCGAACTTGGCGCATCTAACAAAAGCCTGAAGATGACCGCAGCTTGGCGCGCTTGTTTTGAACATTTTTTCACGAGTTGCCAGCATGAACTTGTTCATAGGTTAACGGTTAACATGATAAGTGGATGATTTATAATCATTATCATTCTACATCAGCCGCTGGGTTTTGTTCCCTACCTAGGAAACAACAAACTATGCCCATGGTGGAAGCATGCTGGACCATGTGGCATACTGGTGGCAGCACACTGAATATGCAAAGCAGCGCATGGTGAAAACATTTGACTCCCTTTCGCATCTCTACACCGTGTCCGGACAGCAGTGATGGAGGAGTGAGGACCAGACTGAAAATCCGTTTGGCTGGTGTCGGGCCGGACTTGCAGGTTGAAATCGGGGCCAGTTCAAGAAGATTCTGGTAAAAGCTCCAAACTTCAGCAATTTTAGTATTTCGTCCTATATGGGTGTTGGCAGAGCAGACTTCTGACGTGTTTCATGTGCGAGTGAATGCAACTGCACACCGTACTCATGGTTAATTACTCACTATTCCTGCATACAGTCGGGCATAGCTCGTACAATCAGACAACAGTCTAAAGTGAATGAGAGCTACTGCATGGCTTGTGCGCTGATGTTGTACTTCGATACATGTTTTCAGCATTGTGAGCTTTGATCCACTTTTCAATCTATTCACTAGTGGATCCACTATTAGATCTATACATCCTCTATTCGTCTTACCCTCTGGTAATTTAACATAGCTATGGAAAATCACCATTTTTAATGGGAAAATCCACTATTTATGGTCATTTTCAATAGCTATTTTGACATAACCAGAGGGTAGTCACTGGATGTCCTTTTGAGGTCCTGAACCATTTGGATCCCAAGATCATCTGCGAGCGCTTGCACTGGCAGACACGAAGGAAGTTGCGACGGAGCCGAGAGTTCCACCGCAGATTCCTGCGGGAAGTCTGGCCGTGAATCCACTTAGTGTATTTTAATGGAACCAAAAGACTGGGAACCAAAGAAAGATATGAGTGTTCCGTCCCTCTTCACTCAACTTCACAAATTATGCCTGCTTTACCACCAAGCCTGCTGAGTATACCTGAGCACTGAAGCTCTGAGTGATTTTTGCATACTTGAGACCCCCTCCTGACCCCTGAAAACAGGGGTCATACCAAACCAGGCATTTACGGGACTCCCAAACCGGCGATGCTTGCAAACCCATACCCAGATTGAATTTGTGTATTTGGACTCCTTAAGATTATGCAATCCGGATGATAAAATGATGATACAGCTTACTGAAAGGTGACACGATGGAACCATGTTGGTCACGCATTTGTCGTTTGCTCAAACGCCATCAGATCCTCGCAACATTCGCCTCATCAAATCCTCATCGACCATGGAGTTGGCCCCTCCCCGGATTTGGTTTGCGCGAGCCATGGAGCCACCAATGAGGCCCCCACTGGTGGACAAAGAAAGGAATCTCATGGAATCTCTTTATTCACCTTTTTTCTTCTCCCTTGGGGACAATCCAAGAATGTCAAAGAAGTGTGGAAGATGTTCTGAAATTTCTGAAGGCAATGAAACTTCTCATCTCAAGGGTGTCGACAACAGCACTCGTTTGTGGCAGTTGGACACTGCCACTGATCAAGCTCTGAGACCACAAACAACTTTGTGCCATCGAGAGAATATGTCCCAAATTTAACAGCTACAATGCTTGCCTTGCAAGCTGCATCATTTGTTTGACCAAGGAATTTTATCCTAGACTTGTGAGGTGGCGGATGCAACACAACACTTTGACTCAGCTGTGAGGTATCGAACTTCGAAGCGAGCTTTAGTCTTGTTGCGCCAGCTAAACTTCAAAGCATAAAGGACATTGCAGCCGAGCAGTGGAGAAGAGGGTTGGCGGCGTGAATTGATTTCTGGACATGTTTCTAAAAAAAAAATAAACAGTATAGAAAGGGCAGAATTCAAACGACACAGAACAACCGACCTCCAATTTAGAAGCACAATTGAAACAAAGCGGGAGTTGCTCTTGATTGAGAACTGCCTCAGGCACTTGAAGCTCAGTGCCTGGGGCACGTTCTCAATCAGAAGCAATTCCTGCTTCGTGGGGTTACTTGCTTGCAGAACCCCAAACTCAGCCCTTTTGCATGTGGTTGGCAAAGTGTCTTGCGATGGCAGCGACATTTTTGCATCGACCGGGTCGCGGAAAACACGAGTCTCTTGACACTGGCGAAGAGGCCGTGGCCGGTTCTCCTTGCGAAGGGCGCTGATGCCCAAGGCGAGCTGCTAAGGTTTTTCGGTGCCTGCATGGCTTCGAAGGGACCGCCGGCAGATTCTGGAGCAGAAAGGCGGCAGCGGCAGCATGTTTGGACCGTGTGAAAGTTCCCTGGCTTCGGCAGTTGAAGCCTCGGACCTCAAGGACATTGGTGGCAAGACCCCCCTTGATGCGAGAAATGGTCGCCGCAGGGAAGTCATCAGTTTACTGACCGGCCAAGTATGAAGGGGACTTTGTAGGTTTTGCAACCTGTTTCAAATGTTTTTTGCCCAAAGTGTACCGCGTCAGGAGAAAATATAAAGCTAATTTGGGATAAACATGGTCAAACATCGGCATTCATAACTGCTGGGGAGCGTCGTTCCTTTTTGCACGTCATGTTTGTTTGAAAAACCATGCTCGGCAGAACGATCCTGACATGTGACAATGTCGATACCTTTTTATTGCTGCCCTATGGCCGCAGGTTATTTCTGACACTCTTGGATTTCAGGATGTTTGAGCATTCACGAATTCGGAATTTGGCGACATTTCCGCTTCAGCAGAGACCTTAAATGTCAATTGCTGCTGACAACATTTTGGTGACCGCTTTACTCATTTTCTTCTGTCATTTCAGCAGGGTCGCCATGGAGATACATGAGCTGGAAGAACTGGTCAAGCCAGAAACCCAGTGCTGCGCAAGGCAACGTAATGAATGTGACCTGTAGGAGTCCCCAGCCGTATGATGCGTTCTCTTGGATGACAAATGATGACAATGTCCCAATAGACAAACCCCACAATTCTCATTTTTCAGCAGGACCCCAGCTTTCGGCCAACCAGGCCAACCATATGTTTGATTGAAATACAAGCAGTCTGTAGCTCGAACAGTCTGGGTTGTATATAAAATTTTATAGATGATATACCCTCTGGTAATTTAACATAGCTATTGAAAATGACCATTATTAGTGGATTTACCCATTAAAAATGGTGATTTTCCATAGTTATGTTAGTTTACCAGAGGGTAGATGCCAGATTTCACTGTTATCACTTATCATCCGGGGTGGTACTCAGAGGAATTAGCTTCTGTGTATAGAGTCAAGGTTATCAGTACACAATCAGAGAGTTGGAGTTGGCCAACTTGAAGCATCTTGAAGCAACTCGTGCGAAGCCAAAGAAAAAGTGTACAGCTGCCCCGGCGCTGAGGCCTTATCAGTTTCACTTCGACTTCTTGCACCCTGACAATCCGTCCCTGAGGTGTGCATCCGCTGCCAGGGATATCCAGGGATCAAGCAAGATGGGTTTGTGAGCCAACTAGACACGTGAACAACACTCGGAGACCTTGGGCCAGCTTGACTGGAGTGCAGTATCCATTTGCAGTGCGTTGCAGACACTGCGACTCAAAACATCCCATAAAATCGGATAACATCGGACAAGATCGGATAACCAACGCAGGAAGTATTTAGAGGTTGCCAATATTTGCCAATCTTCAATTTGGCCATCGCTGGGTCATTGCAACTTCCCTTTCCAGCTGCCATCCCTTCACATCAATTTTTGCTCCATGCCCGGCGAGGCTGCCATGGGAGACGGGTACAGCGTCGCCAAGCATGGCAAACGCAGCGCCCAGTGTCAGTGTCCCCGAGGTTGACAAGGCCTTGCCGTCGTGGGCAAGCTCCCAAAAAACTTTCATTCAAGGATTGCGTCCATTTCATCAATTTCTGTGTGACTGGAATAATTCGATACAGTCGATTCGTAATGTTTTGATACATGTTGAGGATTCTATCCGGTTCCCTCAAGATCTAGCAGGCTCTCCTTCCAGAACGTGCATTTCAATCATGGTAAAGACTGCATGCGCCTTTCACTTCTTGATTCCAGGATTGCACTTCGCTACCACTTCCCTGCCCTGCTTGGAACCGTACAGGTGGAAGATGTCAGACAAGTTTCGCGTCAAGGTCTTGTGACTTAGTGAGTTAGAGGTACTGAGATGTACTGAGTACTTTGCAGTCACACAAAGAAACGAAGAAACAGAGAAACAAAGAAACACAACTGCAACATACTGCAACTAGCATCAACTAACATCAACAAAGAAACACTAACATCATTACCACATCACCATGCTATATAGGCATTGTACACCACCCTCTATTCTCAGTCGAGACAAGGCCTGGCCCGGGGTTTTCTTTGCAAGACCAGTTCATCTCTCAGTCGATGACAGTCGTTGGGTTGGTGAGCCAAGAAGATCTATTTAGCATTCGGCTAGTAGCATTGTTGAAGGCTGTCACTGTCATTATCCTCATTGTAGAGTTTTGCTGAACTTACATATGCTTCTATAATCTATAACCTATTGTTTAAGCATGTTTCAATAAGATTTCTTGGATACAACTGCTTCTATAGGTCCTACTGTACCCCGATTCTATGGTAGTGGCCAACTGATTGAGACTGTGTGGGCATTGGGGCCCGACGTTTCCAGGACATTCAGGTCATCCGATGCAAAACCACCAGCCACAAAGTTTGGATTGAACAGTAAACTAAATAGTAATATTATATTATATTATAGCATATTATAGCCTTAACATGCCTTAACAAGCAAGTAAACTAAATGCATATATTATATATACTATATTATAGCCTTAACTTAAGCACTGACAGAAATTTGGACACACTGGACGGACACACATGTAACCAACGGCATGGACTGAAGCTCAACGCGATATTGCTGCGCATTTGTGCTGGTATTGCACCAAACAAGACGAAGCAGTAGAAAAAGAAGAAGAAACAGAAGAAGCAGAAGCAGAAGAAGGAGAAGAAGCAGAAAAAGAAGAAGGTTGATGAGAGCAATGGATACACCGTGGACAGTCGCTCTGTACAACATCGGTGGCTTAATTTCGATGCCAGTCGACATGGCTCAGCATTGGATCTGAGGTGCGGCGTCCAAGAAGGCAACGCACTGCATGATGTGATGAGTTTGGCACTGGTCAAATCGTGCAGGGTTTGGTGTTGTGATTGGATGTGTCACAAACATGTTGAACTGTTCAGAAGTTCATGGCTGATGCAGAGAATCGTCGTTGCTGTAGTTGCTGTAGTTGCTGTAGTCACATTGCAGCTTAAATGTGTCTTAAACAGGCCCCCCATGCATTGCTGTTGTCAAACTGGGAGGTGGTTGACTGTTGTCATCGTAGCTCGTCGGGGGCGTTTTATGGGCTCCTTGGTCCTCCAGGAAGCAGCTGCTGCGAAGACTTCGTGCGAGCCTAATGGATGCTGGTGGACGAGTGTCATGATGATCATGATAGATTTCCCATAGGATCCATGGTGCTGGTATATAATGCTAACATTGGGGGTATATTGATGGGATCCATGTTACCATATATAGCAGCACCATGGATCCTATATAGATTTGGACTAGCCAAAGTTGTTGTCAACTGGGAATGACTTCGTGACTTGGAAGAGAGAACTTCCTCTGTTCCAACATGGCAAGCTTATGCGTTTTTGCCACCTGGTCACAACTTGGGAGCTTTGCAATGAGCTGAGCCGATGCTGTGTGGAGGCCTTCCGGGAAGTCGAAGAAGAAGGCAGAGCTGGGCTGAACAGTGCTGGCTCTCCTTGGACTCAAATCTACTCGCAGTACGAAACGCCAAGGGCTGCGTGCCGTCTCCAGCAGAAATTGAATGGATCCACCAATGTCCACGCGTTTGGAGGCTGCTGGTCACTACTGGGACACTCCACCGAAGCTTGTCACAATGCAATACTGGGATATACTGGGTTGGTGCTGCGTTGCGCCCTCTGGATCTGGTTGAAATTGAATGATTGAATTATGCTATGACCCCATTTGATGAAGCCTCTTGCAGCGAACTGTTTGATGCCGGATGTATAATACCGATGATATATTCCACATAGGGAGGCACAGTGAACAGCGAACATCCATGGTGCTTGATAATGTGCTCCTAAGCCACTGGTACAACCCATTCTTAAGACTTTGTGGTCACATGATGTCTCATGTTGTCGCTGTCTTTAGCAGCACTGCTTTGTTTGAAAACACAAGGCTTCATAGTGATCACGGCGCAAAGACATCATATATCAGAATATTGAAAAGCCATGAAGAGCCTCGGGAGACACTCCTAGGCTTTCTAGACGTCTCCTGGGAACACCGGTCAAAAGGATTACTCTAGATGTATAGGTATTGTATAGGTTGCTTTCCATTTTTTTGCGGCCGTCCCTCTCGCACCACCCACATGCTGAGGCCACGCTTTGAGTTCAAGGAGAAGAGTGAGATCAAGGTGTGGAAGCCAAATCAGGGGTCGGAATTGACGCATTCCCCATGGGATGTATATGGATGTATGGTGCCTCCGTTTGGAAGCATAGACTGAGAATGGAAACTAGAGTGGCCCGCAAAGAATCATAAAGAATAACATACCCCATACTGTAGCTGTGAAAAGTGCAACAGACACATCCTTTGTTAGCTACAGTGCCTCGTGGTATTGGTCTACTAGTATTGCCAAGTACAAAGTTCTCTTGAATGACAGGCATGTTCCATACAGGTAATTTTAATGAACCTTAAGCCCCAATCCTTTCTGCACAGCAGGTGGGTGATTGGAGTGGCCTAGAGCAGCGAGGACAAGTGCGGAAGGCAGCCACGACTCGCAAGGATGGCAATGGGGTGAAGGACCCCAGATTTGCTGAGTCTCTCAGATGTTTGCAGAGTTCTTATCCATTATTTTACATGCCTGTTTGGTATTATCATATTGTTTTATTAAATTTTATTGATGTTCAATATTTATTGACTATTTATTGTAGTTTCAATCAATTGATACATAAGCTGATAGTCATGACACACCCCCGAGTCATGACCCGTTCTGCCTTGATTCGGTTTTGATTCTTTGGATTTCCAACACTTGGTGCCATCCACCCTGCCATCCTCCGCCATCTGCCTCCTTAGATCCTTTGAGGTGTGCCGTTTCTCATGCCTGCAAGAACTTGTCCCAGCCGACACCGCTGCGAAGATCTTGGAGTTCCATGGTGGCATATAATAAATAAACCCGTAAACCAGAAAATTGATAGAATGGAATAAAATAATGAAAGAATGGATGCCTGAGAAACATGGGAAAATTTTCGTGAGGAACGTCCTGGAAAGAAAACACTCTGTTTGAATCTGATCTGTTTGGAGGTTCCTGTAGATGGTAACTCCCATTCAATGCAGCTAGTGTTGCTTGAATTTGTCGCACAGGTGAAACCGCCAGTCATCTCAATGGGAATCTCTACTTGAATAGACTAGTTATAAGTTACCCTCTGGTTATTTCACATAGCCATGGAAAAATCACAATTTTTAATAGGTAAATCATCTATAAATGGGCCATTTTCATCCATTTTCCATGGCTATGTTAAATAACCAGAGGCTATAAGGAACTTGAAGACTAATTGTATCATCTTCTATCGTTGTGATTCAGAAGACTGACTCCGAAAACACCCGAATCCCTGGGATCCCTTGGATCCCTTGGCCGCAAAACGATACGTTTCTGGTGGATACTGGTGGTTACTGTCATCGGTTTCTGTTGAGGAAAGGTTTCATCCACAGCGAATCGATGAATCGACACAACTGGTGTCAGCAGGTATTTGAAGAAGAACCCGAAGCTCTTCTCTTCAGAGCCGGACTCGGTGGACAAGACGCCAACCTTCGAGTTCTACCCGCCAACAACTTGGTGGTCAAACGGCAGTTTCGTAGGCCCCGGTGTGCGCCATCATCTCAAGCATCATTCCCATCATTCCGAAACCTCTCGATTGAGTTGAGGGAAAGCCAAGTCTTTCGCAAGCACAGCAAACTTGTTTTTACAGCGCAACGCTGGAGGTGATTTGAGCCCCAGATGCCCCGCTTGCAGCGGGAGATGATTCACCTAGTCCCTGCGGTGCGACGCCGAGGTTTCGCGATGGCGTGTGGAAAGATCAAGAGCTGAGGCCAGGTCACTTTGGGGGGTGGTATTCAATACATTTCAATACCACCAGTTACCACCACACTTGCCCAAGAAATGTCGGAAATGATGCGCCAGCAGCTCTGTTGGAAAATAAATCTTGGGCCTTGCTGATTTGTTGGGTTTCACTACTAGAGGGATCTCTACCCTACCATTGCCATCCATTGACAATAAATGGTTCACTGAATTGAACTGAACTTGCTCTAGATCTTTATTTATCAATATGTATCAGAATCATTGTTACCATCTGGTTATTTAACATAGCCATGGTATAGATGCCCCATTTAGTTTGGTTTACCTATTAAAAATGGTGGATCTTTCCATGGCTATGTTTAATAACCAGATGGTAGCATATTTTGTCATGATATTTCCCAAAAAGATACCAGGCTTGAAGCCACCGCTGCATGGTAGGGAGTTGCTGGAAGAGATGTTGGAGGCTCGCATCCTGACTTATGTCAGGCAGCGTGCCTTGCTTGAAATGTACGCTGGGGCTGGATATGACATGATAGAACCAACATTTTGGTTTAGCTAACGGAACAGCTTGGGATGATAGTATGTAATGGTATCTTGCACTGAAGTGAGGTGTTAGAAACCAACATGGGTTGGCATGAAATTGTAACCCGCACAAAGTCCACAGAAATAATTCCTGTTTTAGAGGGAACATATGGGAAAATAGTGCCATGCAGCAAAAACCATGCAGTTATTTGGCTCATAAACTCGCTGGCTTACCCATATCATCTTAGAGCCTTGCATTGGCGGAGATTTCATCATATTGAGCATGTGGTCTGGCTGCCAAATAAGGACTGCAGGCTGAATTTTGATAGTTGCTATAGGTAGTTGGCAGAGATGTTTTTTTTTCCAGGATATTGTACTCAACTAGCCTCAACTTCTTCTTTGGAAAGCCGCATGAGCCAAGGGGGTGAATGTTGCCATAGATTACTAGCTCTTTGGCTCCTCAGAGTTTGCAAACATCCTGGATAGTAGCCTTCCCAACAAACTGAGATCACCAAATACAGAGTCACTGGACTGTCGAATCAAAGATATTACAGACCTTTCCTCAACCCAGCCATGGCAAATCGTTTGTTGTGGCTTGCTTTGCATATACCTAGGGTCCTGACAGATGGGCAAGTGGGGACCACTACTGGCCCGTGGAGAGCCGTCTCCTCAAGAGTCATTGAGCCAATTTGTACCCAGTGCAGCTGTCCTGACGATGGGACTGGCTGGAAAGGCTCCCAATCGTTGGAGAGCTGCGCCCAAACCTGCGAGCAAGAGGGATCCTGGTTTAAACATGCCAGCGGCAGAAGGTATGATGGGGAAACAGGTCCTTGGGTATATTTTTCTGTATATGACCATGTGCCAAAAATAGTTGACAGAAGTCTTGTACCAGTTGTTGATAATTAGTGTGGACCTAGTGGTTTTTCCTCTTCGTTATGAGGCGGCACGCAACTAAATTCACCAATTCTGCAAGGCAGCGCTAGCAAACCCGCTCGGTTTGCGCTAGTTTTTTTTCACATCCATGTTCAAGGATATATTGTTTATGTGTTCCTGACTGCTTGTTATTTCATGTTATTTCAACATGAAGACGAGTCAAAATGCAACACTTAGCTCCTTAAATCCAAGTCGGATGTCTTAGTGAATTTCTTTGCTACTCAACCATTTTCCTATATTTTTTAGAGGTTGCGGCTCAATTTTGCGAGTTTGTACGTCATTTTGCCCTCTAGATCCCAGCTAGCAATGCGCGTCGCCCCCAGAGAACTTGTAGTTGATTCTGTTTGTTTGACAAAAGCAACAGTGACAGCAAAGGCAACGACAAGGCCTGCAGATGGACACATATTCCAGTTCATTCCAGTTCCACCACTATAGGAACTAACAGCGGCACCCACTTCATATAGACGTGCGTTAGCATTTACTGCAGGTTTTAGCTACGGCTTCAAACATGAAAGAAAAGATGCAGGGTTTTCAGACTATTTAGATAAGTAATAGTTTTAAAGACGAAAAAAGAAGCAGCACGCAAGGAATTACGATTATTTTTGCAAACCGTCATATGTATATATATATATATAATATGTATGTAACATATGTATGTATATATAATATGTATGTAACATATGTATGTATGTATGTATGTATGTACGTACGTACGTACGTATGTATGTATGTATGTATGTATGTATGTATGGTATGTATGGTATGTATGGTATGTATGGTATGTATGTAATGTATGTAATGTATGTAATGTATGTAATGTATGTAATGTATGTAATGTATGTAATGTATGTAATGTATGTAATGTATGGAATGTATGTAATGTATGTAATGCATGTAATGTATGTAATGTATGTAATGTATGTAATGTATGCAATGTATGTAATGTATGTAATGTATGTAATGTATGTAATGTGTGTAATGTGTGTAATGTGTGTAATGTGTGTAATGTAATGTAATGTATGTAATGTACGTAATGTACGTAATGTATGTAATGTATGTAATGTATGTAATGTATGTAATGTATGTAATGTATGTAATGTATGTAATGTATGTAATGTATGTCATGTATGTAATGTATGTAATGTATGTCATGTATGTAATAATGTATGTAATGTATGTAATGTATGTAATGTATGTAATGTATGTAATGTATGTAATGTATGTAATGTATGTAATGTATGTAATGTATGTAATGTATGTAATGTATGTAATGTATGTAATGTATGTATTGTATGTATTGTATGTAATGTATGTAATGTATGTAATGTATGTAATGTATGTAATGTATGTAATGCATGTAATGCATGTAATGCATGTAATGTATGTAATATGTATGTAATGTATGGATGTATGGATGTATGGATGTATGTATGTATGTACGTATGTATGT